CTACGATGGAAATATAATACCTTTTTATACCTCCATAACTTTAGCTAGATTTCTTGAAACAAATGGAACTCGAGAGTTCCTTTCTTCCCTCTTCTTCTCAGACGAGGTGAGTCTCAGAAATTCTCAAGAGTTCATACGATTTCATTGGAGGATTAATTACCAGTGCTCGATAATATCGGTACGGTAGCTTCGTTTCGGCCGACACTTTAATGGCCGACATTGATTCAAAGAACGAGCAGAAGGAAGAAAGGACGAAGGAAAGAGGGTGGAAGAGGGCAAAGGGGGATAGATACAGAGAAAGAGAGGAGACGGTAGCAAGGACGTCTTTTATTTCCTTCGAATCTCTCGGTACTACCTGACGCGTTCTTTCTCTTCGTTCGCAGGAAGATAAAGGATGGTAATTGTTTTTTTTTTCCTTCCTTTCTTTTTTCATTTCTTTTTCCTCTCGTCGAGTTTCTGTTCCTTTTCGAGCAGGGCGTCGCGTTGCCTTGCCGTCATTACACGGCATGACAAGGCGCCTCTGTTCCAGGCTCCTCGACTTCTCGCCACTTTTTCTGCTCCCTATTCTCGTACCACCTTTTCACACGCTTCTGAACGGCAGAAAAGACTCGAACGGAACGGGAGAGGAAGCGACGTCTCCTCTCGGAGCCGCCGCGTGATAACCTTTCAACCCTCTTCAAAAAACCGTCTTCGCATTGTGAACGATTCAGGCTCGAGCAAGAAGAATTGATAGCGCTAAGTGTCGATGCTGATGAAAGATTCTTCCATATGACAGAAAGATAGCACTTACGTATATCAACCTAAAGTTACATCTCTTTTTATTAATTTGAATGCAAGGTGGCTAATTGTACATCGCAGTGAATTATTTTATTCTGTGAAATCTTCTCCGCCGCTTTTTGCCATAACTCCACGTGGATCTGGCTTCTTTTTTTCACACGATTCGTATCCCGAGGGAGGGAAGTCCATCCGGCAGGTCCTACACTTGTACACTTGCCTAATTGATCCACGGCCTACCTTCTGTTCTACCTGCGGGGATGAGAAGGCGGCACACGGACAGAGACACGCAGAATGTTAGAGTGAAAGCCGAGTCTCGGGGTGAAACGGGGCAGGAACCATGAACCAGGTCCTGCAATTACTACAAGAAAATTATTTAAAAGAAAAAGCTTGCATCTTGCAAGATAGACACCAGTCACTCTCTGCCTGTGTTTTAAATAATTTGTTGGTCCCAGTTTTCTTATTCTTCGAAATCTTCGATCTTCCCTCAGAGAAATTTCTTTACCATACCACCGAAAAGAGCAAACGGAACGTGCAGAGACCTTTAAAAGTCACCCTCGCGTCTAGCTATCGAAGCTTCACCTTCGCTCTTTTATCGGAGCCAACGATCGATTCGCTCCCATGTCCCTGGTGCATGCGAATGTCACCGCGCGGCTCTCTCGTGGTTCCCAGTCGATCGTTTCAACGGCTGCGAGGCCAGTAGGTCGAAATGTTTGGCGACGTCGGTGAATTAGAGGCGCGGTGGATAGATAGGAAGAGAGAAAGAGGAAAGAATAAGAGTGACGAGGAGAGATTCACAGGATGGCAAACACTGCCAACAAGTTGGCCGTAATAGGTCGCCGATCGGGCGGCGGTCTCGTGAAGCACGGATCGAGGAGAGAGCGAGTCCGTTGCATGCCACAAATTGGCTCAAATATTTACGCAATTGGCATGATAACCGCATTACGTGATTATGTACGGTTGTTGCGCGCGATCCCGATGCTCACCCTCTCGTCCCATCATCGCCAGCTACACCCCTTCCTCTCCAACCCGACCGACCATCCTTCCATCGTCGCCCTTCTACACCGCTACCTACGTTCTCCATGACCTCTCGTGTAAACGGCAAATCAGGGTTATTAAACGACCGCTCGCGGGACACGCGTATTGTTCGACTCGGCCATGCAACTTCCGCTTCGATGTTCTTCCTGTTCTTTTTCGTCCGCCGGTTTCGATTCGCTCGTTTCTCGCGGGCTGGCCTCGTTTCGACTGAGAAATCAGCATTTCGATCCCTTACGGTCTTCGGACTTCGATTCGAACGAATTTCGATCGATGCAGTTGCAGATTTCTCGAACTAAGTTATATAATTATTAATAGCATAATTTCCATTCGCTAATAAAACGCATCGTATATCATTGCTTTTTTTTATGGATGATGTATCGAGACAGTTGTTAATTTCTTGGAAACACATTCGCATTTTTCAGCGATTCCATATTAATGCGATGCTGTAAAAAAACGAGACACGATGCCAGGTTCGATCTGGAAAACGAGAGATTTACCACTTCATTTGCAATCGCGGCGATATAGAAAAAACCGCATCGGACTGCAATTACCGACCATCTGAATTGATTACAAAATATAAAAACAACATGGTTACAAACTATATATAAACATGAGAGTGATAGAAAAATTACAGGTATCATGTGGCAAAGCAGTTATAGCAATACTTTGCGTTGAATTTCCATATTAACCTTCTAATTCTATTAACGTCTCTAATTTATCTTATTCAATTTCTAGGATACCTTGATTATCCGGGGAAAACAACCAACCAAGGATATTTGTAAAAATAGAGGTTTTCTTGGAAAAAGATATAAAAAATGTTAAATTCCGCTAGAAACATTCCAAACATTCCAATACCAACTTTCTTCTGGCATATCTGTGTAAAAATAAAACCTAATCATTATCTGAACGGTAATTAAGCGTCCCAAGATTCTCGAACTTCAGCCCCGAACGTCGATCGTCGGGGAAAAATGGCAAAGTAGAAGCCGGAGAACCGACGTCCCGTCCCGAGGGCGAAGGTTCTGCTTCGTGATTTCGCCTCGACCACGAAGGAGGCATCTTCTTCGAAGATACAGTTACTCTGGCCGGCGATCTAGCGCCGATCCGTTACGTAACACTCCTTGGAAACGCTCCGTCTCGACTTCTCCGTCTCTCCGCCTCCTCTAGCTGACGGAGAACGCGCGTTACGTGCGGTTTCCGTAAATTGTTACGTGCAAAGCGGAGCCAGGGTTCGGCCGCGTGTACCCGCTTCGCGGCAGCATCTCCGTCTCGTCTGACACATCTCGCGACCAGCCTCCGTAGCTGGCGTGTGTTGCTTGCAGCGAGGAAACGCGAGGTTATTCGGCGAAAAATCAGCTGGCACACGGAAAGGTGAAAACGTCGTACGTGAGAATTATCCTCTGGCACGAGAGACTGAGAAGAGGAGGAAGACCCTGGGACCATTGGCGTAACTAGGTAGGGAGGGCATAGGGATGAACTGATATGCTCAAATAGGAAGAACATACCCTTATTGCAAAAATATAAAAATCTCTATTACATTTTTATTTCCAAAATTGAAAGCAAACGGGAGAAGCTCCTTGCACCACCTTCACCCTTAGCTAAAAAATGTCTATGTTGCACCCGAGTGCAACCCTGAAATTTTCAAAATTTTCAAAATGAATTTAGGCTTTCTGTGTAGGTGTTGCTAATTCTGTCAGCGTTGATCTAGGGGTGTTGGCCCTCCTCGGACAAGAATCCTAACTACGCCAATGTTCGGGATGAGGATCTCCTCGGAGTCTGAGTTTCGGTGCCGTTGTTACGGCACCCGTTCGCCACGGTAGTCATTACTTGAATTAAATAATACTCGGTATAATTATTTGGAAAGTTTACAGCGAGATGTATGGGTCTCGCTTCGTTCCAAGGAAACACAGCACAGCTTTTAATTACGCGGCTGATGGCAAGCAACGCTTCTTCCAGCATTACACGAAAGGGTAATTAGCTTATGTTTAGAAAGCTGCACGATCTATCGATGATGGGTCGTGGTTCGAATATGGGAGCGGGAGATCTATTGCTTACGATTAAGGGAATCTCCGACATCTTCCATTGTAGCCCGATGGGAACTTTGAAAAACGTGTTCGAAAGACGACTCTCTATCACGGTTTTGGCCGGTAATGAATTAAAATTACTGGTTGCGTGGCTGACTTCGCGTAAACACCGTGGCATTGATTTAAACACCGGGATTATTGTAATTACAACAATTTATTGTTTCAGGGTGCACCAGAGGGCAGGAAGCATGGCGTTCGGAGAGATATCGGTGGCGTCAACTCTTGGAGAGCATTGCAAGCTTCTGCTTCGTGATGGATTGCTGGCGCCATCTTTCCGTTGATCATTTAAACGTAATGTTTATAAAAATTTATTTAAACAATCATTTAGCACCAGCTACGATGTTTTGTAACTCATTTAGTATACTTCGTTCTCTTTTTATGGGTAATTATTATAGGAGTTCATTATGGTAACATTCTTCTCTTACTTACAGTTGATTATATAAATTATTGATTATGAAATTATATAAATAATTTATGTTTAAATCTTTGATTGGTTTAGAATCTCTGATTATCGTGCAATCTTGTAATTAATGTAGATTTCTGATAATCTTATCGATAGTAGATGAATCTCTGCTGGGTCTCTAAAGATTTCTAGGAGCTCCAATTCCTTGGCTATTTTCTTATTTAGGAAAAATATTCTCTAAATGTCGACTGATAGAGGAAACCATAACTGCAATTTTCCATAATTCGATTTCCCACAAACCGATAAAACAAGCAATCGCTTATTTTCTTTTTTCGGAGGGTTGCAATTGATGGCACACAGGAAACATCTGCCATCATATTTTGGTAACGACCAATACCAGCAATTTTACTTTCAAACAATAATAGAACACTTTTGTCAAAAATCTGGAAAATTCGTTGAAGGAAGATTGATAAAAGACATCAAGAAAAATTCTTTATTGAATCTTACTGCCTTATTCTACCTCTTATTCTTGTCTTTAAAATGTGTACAATAAGAAAATTATCGAAGCATGTGTATCACTGCACCTGCGCGAGATACACAAAGAACATTTTCGACCCATGAAATTGGGGTGCGAACCCTCGTATCGCAGAGCGTGTGCCTAATTTGAATCGAAGGGAACAATGTATGGAACAAAAGAATGCATCTACTATTTACATGTTTATTCTTCACAATATTTTTCCCAACACCTTACACCAACAACAAGTATTAAGTATTATTATCCATGGGCACCATAGATGGATCGCACCATCCCGTTTATGCTAATTTTCTGGTAAAGCCATCGCCTCGTTCCCCGTCCTCTTCTTTCGTTCCCATATTTCATTATCGATGCTGTGATGAAATAGGAAAAAAACAATTAGCATATTTCTTACTTTTTGAAATGGGACCTTGATTCTTTTTAAAACTTACTCGTCTGACGAGTCCTTGGAGTATCCTGCCAAAGTTCGCCAAAGCTCCCGGGGTCCTTCTATAGCAAGAGGAAAATGTTGCCAAGACCATGAATCTATTAATAACAAAGTATTATTGTTATAGTCAAATCAAGTTAGAAATTCTGGAATTTTTTACCTTCGAGATGTGGATAATCCGCACGTCTCTTTATGGGTCTCGCGAAAGGCTCGTTATTAGGATACCAAGACTCAGGCTTGCAAATAGAGAAAAATTGACGTAACTAAATATTATTATGAAAGTTTATTAATTGTATACTAATTATTATTACCTGTACACTGTCGTGTCCTGAAACTTGGGGAATATTCTGTCGAGATTTGTAAAAATCGTCGTATCCGTCGCTTCGTCCAACACGGGGAATGTTCTTAGCGATTTTCAGAAAAAATGCTGGCACTTCGTCCGCTTTTGAAGGACCAATCAGCACCACCAGTGTGGCAAAAAGAAACGCTAAAAGATAACGAATAAATAATTCCACACCTTGAACACTAAATAAAAAGAACTCACCACCAACGACGAATCTTCCCTTGGAACCGGAAGATCTCGAGACCATCATGATTCTCGTCAATTTCAATCTACAAACGAATCGACACTGTTCAATTAATTAACGCGTTAAGATTCAGAACAATTTCTCCTCTACAACGTTATCAAACGAATGGCACAATTTCATGGACGTTCTCCATTGCTCGCGAAAACGGAACGAAAGGTTCGAAACTTTCTTGAGGAATGATTCGCGCCGATACGCGTTCCACGATTGTACGCAGAAAACTGAACGATATTCCATTATCGCGAAAAGTGGACAGAATACTTGAAGATCGTGGGCGAGGGAATAGTGAAGTTTGCACGGAGAAGCCCCATCGCATTTAAATATTCCGGATATTTGTGCTGGCATTTTTACGCGTGAAATCTGCTCGTATGTTCTTCAGAATCAGAGGTGAATCCGGAAATCTTGCTTTAGGGGGTGAAATGTATTAAAGTTTCAATCCTTTTCTGCGCGATATTGACCCCTCTAGATACAGCACTGAATAAAAGCACTTTGTTCAACATCGAAGCTTCGAATATGATGGTATGCAAAACGTATGTGGTTTATGTGTATATGTCGTATGTAACAGGGAAGCCAGAGGAATGTAAAGAGGAGAAAATTGAAAAGCTGTTGAAATGTTCGTGTCAGAGACACTCGGTGATACTTACCTTGCGGCTGTCACGGTATACTGAAACCAAATCGTCAAGTATCACTGTATTTATAATGGAATTTTGGGATTAATTAAGTATGTCGATCATGTCGATCCAATGGTGTATTGTCGAGACTGCTTGTTGCTCCCCTATGCTGCTGTCGAATAAATTTCTCGACGATTGATTCAGACTGGGGAATTATTGTCTGACAGATTTCAGGATAATGGCTTGGATTGAAACAGCAAACAGCAGATTTATTATTCTAAACGTTTGTATTTGGGTACTTTATTGAGAAATTTCAAGGTTTCTTACGATCAATCAATCTTAAGTTATAATACATTTCATATTCATATTATTTTATTAAATTAGAGAAGAGGTAGATTTTATTTTATTATTGTTGCTGATTTTGATAAAGATTTATATAAGGTTGATTGCTGATAGCAATAAGATGCATGTTTTAAAGTATCACAGATTTTCTAAAGATTTCAATTAATCCGTCAATTATTTTACCGTATATTTTTACGAAACTCATTTTTCGTCTGCGAGTAACAGACACTGTAACCCTTATCTCGGCAGGTGAATGGAACGTGCTTTCCATATCGAATCGTTTGATCTGCATTTCAGATATTGAAAAGAGTTTCGTTGAACTCCTGTTACGTAAATTATTTTAAATCGAGCATTCCCTCTTTCTCAAGAGAAAAAGGATCATACGACTGCTCTCGATAAAATCTCTTAGATAAAATTATTATATTTGCAATGGAAAATAAATTTCAAGGGATAATTACCAGACGCATGGTTTAATTTTAAGAAACACCATACTTTATTATATCAGAACATTTACACAGTCATGATTAATTTGTATATGCTTAATGATTATACGAGGACGAGTGTTTTGGACGATGCGACGAATCTTGAAGCGCCAGAGGAATTGATAAACGAGAAACCAGCACAAGCGACGTTATCATATTATTAAATGTTAAGCAGCGTTATTGATGTTTGAAGCTGAATCTTGGTTTCGGATCTTTAGTTAGAGTCCTGTCGTGCCAACCAGGCGTTGCATGTCTCGGTGACAGATTCGCAGACCGATGACATGGCTCGGCTGGTGATTTCGTAATCTGCAGATCATCATTAAGAATCAAAATTTTACAGATGAATCAGCAGAAGGAAATCTTATAAAATCTAAGAACTGAACAGAGAATCGTACTTTAAATTATGGCGGGTCTTACCAGTGATGGTGCTGGATCGTTTGCCGAAAATGCTGCCATTGAAGGGTGGCTTCCTGTAGGCAGCGTCGACGCTGATGGCGAGGACGAAGAGGGCAGCAACGATAGCAAGAACGAAGCGAGTGGACACCATTTTGATGATGGGTAATTGAAGGGCTGTCTGAAATGAAACAGTAGTATTATATTCTGTTAGATTAAGTAACTTGAGGTACAAGGCCCAAAGACTTTCCGAATAGCACTGCTGGAGTAAAGAGATCAAGTTTACTTACAAGCTGAAGAAACGAGAAGACTAGTACAGTAGTTGGTCAACAAATGTGGCAAATGAGAGAAAAGCTTGGAGCTTTTATACCTTAGAAAGAAGCTTAAGACAAATGTCCCTATCAAATGCAGATATTATACATTACTTTGCAAGTGACCTCATCAAGGAATTCATCTAAAAGGATATCGATCTGGCAGAAGTTAAACGATTGAGGCAAATATTAGATATTCAATGAGAAAATTTTTATAAAAAAATAAAGAAGATATAAAATAGTTAAAAATTTCTTGAATTTTTGAAGAAAAAACAAACTTATGTAAAATGATAAGGTGAACTTTACCGACGCTGAGAAAGATGGTACCTTAAGCTGTAAGATGTCTTCTTCGAAGGAAGGATGGCTGTGATCTGCTGATTTCGGAAAACGGCTCAGCTTTTATAAGACGTCCACTGCACATCTTGGTATATGCTATAATATTGTTATTGAATAACGTTGCAAGCTATCACGAACGTAACCCAATTACCGATGCTCCTGATTGTCTTTTATCCCTGGGGAAATAACAATCTATTTGCTGGAATGAAATAGTATGTATAAAAAAGAAGACACAAAATTAATATAAAATGCATTAAATTTAAAAAGATAGCATGTAATATTGACAACGTTTTAAAAAAATTGTCCCATTATCTTTTGCTTTTAATATTGGAATATCAAAAACACATCTTAATCAATGTTTCAAATGTAATGAACCAATTCTTTCAGTTCCAAGTAAGTTTTTGTAGAATATGACAGAAAGATTTATCAAAAATTTAATTTTATGCTTCAATATCTATACTTGAGACAAAAATTATATGTTTGAAACGTTTTTCCAGTCTCTCTTCTATCAATTTTGACTTCCTTTGGTTTTTTAGAAATTTGTGAAAATCAGCACAAGGCCGAAAAATTATTTAAATAATTATTTGACAAATTTGTATTTTAAAAAGATCGCCACAAATTAAAAATTTTTTTAACTCAGCCCCAGCACCATCTATACAAAAATGGCACAAACTACTCAACAACTTACCGATTGCTTTTCTGGAATAGGGAGCACTAGCCCAGTCGTCGGTAAGTAAGTAGATCAACCCCAATCTATCGTGGGCAGCCAATAAGTTATTGCGGAGCTTCGGCTGCTTCTTGGTAAATGGCGCTAGTATTCTCTTGTTCGGTAGCTGCAGATACAAAAAACGGGACATGCCTTTATTATCGACAGATCATGACCTATGGGGTCCCAGACACCCCGATATGAGGTGGATCATGGATGGGGTAATGGATGTAGTGATGTGAAGAGTGCAGAGGTGTAAGGGATGCAGGGATGTAAGAGTTACAAGTATTATGTAAGGGATAGAAGGATGTGATACTGAGATGTATAGGATGTATAGGAGTGTATTATAAACACAATCAAAAATTTGATATTTGGACAATTCACAAATGATCCATCATTTACGACTTAATATCCTTTATTAATTATATGACAAAACATAATGCGAATTTAATCGCTTATACCATATATACACAATGTATAATCATAAACATAAACAATACAAATATATCTTCTTAAGATCGAAAAGCTTATTAAAGACACAATTACAGATACGAGATGAGACATGGAAGACTTGTGAATTTGTTCGCGAACAAGCTTCTGAGCATAAAATTTCCCGCCTGTTATACATGCTAATTTAATTATTATCATGACTGCTTGCCGGCAGCAACCACATACAAGAGTACAATAATTATTCAACATCGAATAGAATTCATAGATTATATCCTAGATTTGTAAATTGGTACCCCAAATAGTTTCTCATTATTATCATAGATATTATTCGTACAAATATTTACAAAGCAAATTCACTTACAACTATTATAGCCCAGATAATGAATTGCTAAAGTCGAGTCTTTCGCGCACTTTGCAAAATATTTTTTTTTCTATTTCAATATTCGGATAGATTTTTATGGTTATTGATAAATTGGAATACAAAATACGTCAATACCACATTTCCCAAGAGTATTTCATTGTCAAAACGAAAGCATTCATTCTGCCTTGGAGTTCACCGGAGTCAGTGCGGCGTTTCAAATATAATAATAAAAAGAAAAGGGTAATATTCAACAATTGCATCGTGGAAAGTGCACGAAAGACGGAAGTTGCATCGCACAGGCATACTATCATCTACGTCTTATTGTCGCGTCACAACGTTTTTAAATGGCACACTACACAAAAGAAACGAATGATTTCCTTTCGCGCGAAGAAATCCGACGATCAGTAAATTTCACACAACATTAACCCCTCCGACGTATATATACGTTAGGATAAAATTATTGCTCAAAGCGGTTTCTATTTATCTTTAATTGCCTTGCAAATTTAAAGTGATTCTAGCAAATAATTTTCATTTCATGAAACTTCAGAGTAATTACTATAAAACTTAATTACCATCTGCGTCATTAATTTGATTAGCGTATAATTACTAGGTTGAGGGGTTAATCGTCGATTTCCATCGGTCGCGCTCGTGGCTGCCTTGAAAAATAATCGCTTAAACAATAGCTACCTTGTACTCCCACGTACACCTATTAGAGGTTCGATAACACGCGGAGTATCAAAGAGACTACAAAATTGGAAGACATGGATTTCGTCTGGTCGTTTGAACGACTCCTTACACCCTAATCATTTTCGCTTATGTAAAAACATTTACAGTGTCCTTAAGAAACTAGAGATACACCGCATCGATGCACGATTCGTCGTTGCATCGCGGCTCACGTATAAATATCGTTTATTGCAATAATACACACATCGCACCTCGGTGTCCCGTTCACACGCCAGTCATGAAACTCTGCTACATCGTGTATACAGCACAATAATGTTGCGTTAAATCCATCTGATGAACACCGTGCAAACACTAATCTTATCGCGACAAAGAGTGATGGGTAACGGAACCCACTGATCCGAAAAGAAAACCCGTCTTTTAATTTTGGACGTTAAAGACTGTTAATTAAGAACGCGTGAACCGGACCTAGCGTAGAAAAGTCTTAAGCCTAACGAGCAATTAAATTATCTAACAATGGTCACGTACATATGAGCGATAACTTCGAGCCGCGATTCCCTTCGAAAAATTCCACTGACAGGTCCCTCGTCAGGCGATTGATATTAATTAATCGATGGATAAATACACGAGTTAAGAACGAGCTAGTTACATCTTCAGATATGAAATTTCAAGTTGCTGATAAAACATCCGACGAGATTGTACATACAAAATTGTCAATTAAAAGAAAGGAGTGATACTTATGAGTTTTATAGACAGATTGAGAGAAACAGCGATAACGAAGGTGTTATTAATTAAAGACTAACCTTATTTCTATCGGTACCATTCAGGACCGACTAACCTATACGAGATATGTAAATTCGTGCCCGCCTGCGAGTGTTCGCCTATCGTCCTCCTCTTCATTCTCTTCAAGGAATAATGTCACAATGGCGGGCGGAACCACCCTGCCCGTTGTCACACTGACAATGAGCCGTTCACCATGGGTGCCAGTCGATGGGATCCTCCGTGGAATCTGTCTCATCCTCGGAAGCATTTGCTGTATCAGCATCTATAGCGGATGCATCTAACCGGAATCTTCAGCTCCTCCATCCTTGCTGATCTTCATCTTCAGGTGCTCCACCTCCAGATCCTTCACCTTCAGATGCTCCAGCTTCAGATCCTCCAGCTTCGGATGCTCCATCTTCAGCATGAATAGAAGGCACAGCTACGGCGTACATGAATCTCTGCTTTTCTTCTTCAGGCTTTGCTGATTTGACATTGTTCAAAGTGTCGCACGAACAACCGTGACGTTGGATAAGATCGTTCCTGATGAAACGGCAGTTCTCCCAGTCGTGGAAGAGCGGGTGATGAGGTGATTTAGGATCACTATGCGGGATCAAACAGAGCTTGAAGAGGCGCAGTAACAAGTACGCGCCTCCATGGGACCCAAAGACGTGGTACTCCGCATGGTCGCAGGCTTCTGCGATCTTCGGGCTGCCGTTCCGTGCACGGCAAAAACAAACGCATGCGTACTCGTCCGGATGCGCGTCGACGACGACCAACGGCAACGCCAGCAACACCCACCAAGGTAGAGGCGTCATCTGAAAGTGATGGCTAATCAATACGAAAGCAAACGAGGAACTATCCGCGTTCCGATAGTCGACGGAGGAGGCATCGGAGGGATTGGTTATGGCAATCGAGGAATTTCCGGGAGTTTCGGGGCTGCTCCCTGTGTCCCTTCATTCTCAACGATCTACGGGGTGTCCTGGATATCAACATTCATATTTTACACTGTTCTTAATGTATTCGACCTTCTTGATACGATATTGTTTAAACCTCTGTATCTCAAAAAATTATGTTCATATGAATCTTTTCAGAAAGATTCGGTTGAATCTTTTTCTTTTTAAATGCCTTGCTTTTCAGGTGTATCATATATCACAGAACACACTGTATTCTTCAGCTTCGATCGGCACGCGGACAGAGAGCAATACCAGATCTTGGTATCCGTTATCGGTTTCGGGTGCCGTGTGTCGATAACTGGTCTGGTCGTTTCGAGTTTGCTTGTGGAATGAGCCATAAGGGCCAGGGAAAGTTTGCCATAAACTCTATTAATTGTACAGAAATTGTTCCTTCGCGGATGGTTGCTGTTTCTCGGTTTCCACGTTCTTGCGGTCGAAACAAAAGATGTCATAAATTCAGCACACTATTTCGTGCAATGTTTGTGCAAGCAATTAATTTTCCAAGAAATATGGTAAATTTTCACTAATTTAAATCATAAATTAGAGCATGCTTAAAACATGAATTTGATAGTCGAATGGAGTTTGTGTAAGTGAAACTTACCTCGACTTATTCTATATAGTGTTGTGTAAAAAGAGCTTTCGATGCGACCCGAGCAAGCTTGTTGTGCAAAATGATCAGAGGGATCCATAGCTTTACCGTACAAGGCCTGACTGTTTGGTTGACTGTATCGCATTAACTATCATTGCCTGTATCAACTGGTACAGTCTGACTACGTATAAACGTGTCCGAGGAGCGTAATGAAAGATAACTTTCCTGCTCGTGTTCCTTTTCGCAAAAAGTCACTGGCCACTGGCGAAACAGTGCAGTGGTTTAAAAACGTATTCTTGTTGATTCCTTCTGAATCGATCAATCAATCACTCGTCAGGGTATTAATTTTGTTAACCCCATGCAGACGAAGGTATCTAGGAATTAAGACACTTTTCTATAAAGTACAAGGTTCAATTATAATAGTAAAAAAAAAAAATCATTGAGTAAGTGTCTATATCTTGTGTCAACTATGAATGATTGCACTTGATGATAGCCAATGAAACCAATGAAACACGATTACCAGAGATTACCGAGGATGTTATGAAGGAAGACACAAAGCGCACCGTTTCATTTTTCTATTACTTATTTTCATTTATAACGAAAAACACTTGTTTTATTATCTCACACTTGATCTCGATAGCACTATCGACTAACTAAATAACTAATAAATCATCTTAGATTCGTCAGATAATAAATTTGCCATGCGCACTTGTGGGATTCTATATCATGGACCAGCATCAAAATCTTCGATTATTTTATCATCGGTTCTCTAATATCTGCCATTTCGTGGAAGCTTATCACGATACCGATAATGTACGATAATCGAAGAACAACCTGGATTAGGCTTCAGTGTCAAAACAGAAAACATTTGAAATGATATAATTATTTTTGATTAAAATTTCAAGTAACTCCTGTCGTGTTTATTCTTACGAACGAAAGGGTGAGAAAAAATATCACCACGCAAGAGATAAATGTGCACGTGAAATTTGTCAGCTTTTCGATTTAGGTTACGCGAAATTTGCTCCACGAGATAAACGGGCCCGTTGTCTGGCTCCATGAATATTCGCATTCACGAGTAACCCTTTGGTATATGCACGTGCACCCGAAATGCAATGGATGCATACATGGAATATCGATCGATGTTGTATTGCAATTATTGATGGATATTCGAAGCTCCCGTACTCGAACTTTTTCTGAATATCATTTGAATCTTTAAGTTTTTAAACCCCCATCGATATGAGTCGCCTTTTTTCCACGGCAAATAAGCAATCAACAAAATTCACAACGCACAATCTTTACAGAAATTTATCACGCGAAGTGAAAAAAAAAGTAAAGTGCTCGAATCGCTCGAAGGAAATGACGAAGAAGGAACTTGGACACAAGTAATTTACATTTTCTGGACCGATAGTTCCGCTGAGAAATGTATCCTCAGGCGTTCGAGAATTCTACTATTTCAATTTAAACTTCTTGTACGGAACAACACCAGTTGAAAATTCTTTTAATTTTAAAGTGCAGTCTGTTTGATGAAATTGCAATTGATTTTTGAAAGCTATATGATTGTATTGAGTATTTTACCATTTATTAAAATGAATAAATAAACAAGCACTGACAATCTATCGGATTAACCCTCAAATGGTAAAACTAAGTATTATAAAAGCTGTTTTGAAAATCTCCAACACACTTGTGAAGAATCAAGACAGTAATCTTGACACTTGATCATTTGTCTGTACGTTGCCTGTTACAGGTAATGTAATAAACTGATCAAAACGATCGCACAGCAAATGATTCAGTAAAGAAATAAATGATGAAAAACGATACGCATCGATTGTACTCGAAATGCAGTCACGTCCTCTTTCGAGCTACTTACAGATGCCTTTGTGTGCTCCAAAGTAACCGAGGACCAGTGAGAAACAAGGAACATCGTTAACAAAGGAGGGAACTCATATTAGGTAGTACATACACCGGGTGTCCAAAGAATACCAGAGAAGGGAACAAGGTGTATGACCTCAATGACGTGATTACATACAGTCGACAACGAGTTGTTACGTCCCTGGCACTTTCTAGGTCTCGCCCTGTCCTCCACCCTCTCACGAAGGACGGAGGAAGTATTGATTAAATTCAACGTCGGCCATTTTGTCCTGCCATCCGATTGGTTGCCGTCCATTTTGTCCTTTCCGTCCCTTCCTCCCACGTTTACCTCTGTTTCTTCCTCTTCCTTCGTTTACCATTCCCTCGATGTCCTTATTTTTTCTCTCTGTTCATTCCAATATTGTCCTCAACCCCTAACGCATGCGTGACGACATTTTCCACAGAAGAAATCAGCAATCAGATTTTTTTTTTCACCTCCTCGTTTTCTTTTTCCCCTCGAAGAACCTTGTGGCTCTGATATTTCATGTTGATATCCTGGATTTCATTTGTTGATTCGTTGTCCTGGCGCAAAACGTGCCACGGACGTAGCATGAATTTTTATGAGGCTTCATTAGAGCAATTGGAATCACCTTAAGCTGGATGCTTTAAATTCCTTGAGGTCGTCGTGGCCTGGAATCTCTGACTAATGCTATCGTACAACCTAAACTATTCCAGGATGATCTCTGACATGATCTTGCTGTACTATATCCTGATAAATCATTCCAAAGTGCTGTCCATTATGTAGCTTTGGGATTCTAGGTCTGATAAAAAGGATTGTGATAATGGGGATGATGGTGAGAGATGAGGAAGTTTATTTAAAAAATTTTTAACAATATTTCTGCTATACCATTGGAATATCTCGGTATACTAATTATACTTAATTAAGAAAGGTAGCATAATAAATGACCTATATTTCTATTAAATAAATACTAGAGAGGAAACGAACACTGTACTATAGAATTTATAATGAGATACATAAGAAAGAAAAGAGACCCTTATTAGTGCACCGACGACAAAATGCTAAAGGAGGAAGTTAAATGGTTCGAATAGCACTACATTTGTAGGCCCTTAGATTTTTTCAAATTTAAGTACTGCATGTGCAATTAACAATTGCATGATTTTTTTTAATGGAAATGTATTTTTTTTTTACACAGATCGATTGAGTATCACTGGCTGGTTTTTATTATTTTTCATTTATGACCCTATCGCGACGATATTGGAGTTACCATTTCGTATTATTATATAGGATGATTGCAAAATAGCGAGAGAAGTCAACCCTTCCTGGCCCACTGTATATAACAATTCCATAAATTGTCAATATCATCCGTTCTAAGTACGAACCAAACTACCCGTGATCCTCTGTCTGGACCACCCTTCACGATCTCCCAGTCGTGTATTTCAGCAAGCGTGCCAAAGATTTCGCGGCTAAGCAGCTCCTTGGCATCCCATCGGTTCCACGTTAAAGTACATTCGTAAACATCTAAAAGGGTGCAGAAACGTCCTACTCCTACGCGGAAACCGCACGCACAGTTTCCTCGACGTGCCTTGCGGCCGAAAGAAGGAGAGCAACGGACGATACGTCATACATCCCCTGACGTCAGTGTGACGTTCGAACAGGGATTGGCCAAGTTGTGACACGCCTATCAGGCCACCCTCAACCCTACGACCCCCTCTGTACCCGGTGTAGTGGTCGCTCGCTCCGCCCACGCGAAAACAACCCCCGCCAGCTGGGGGTGGCTGCGTGGGTTGTACAAAGATGAAACTGGGTCAGGCAGACTCGAGGCAGGCCGAGTCAGGCCGAGGCTCGAGAGTCGTCCAGGCGTTTTCGGCTGGAAGCAGTCCCTTGGAAACCACCCCGAAGCCCGTCGTCGTTCCACCAGTCTATCGACGCTCCATCCTTAAGTCCTTCTACCGCTAGGACAGCTTCATCCCCTTGTACGCGACACCGACACCGTTTCCGTGCTCGTCGTCCGAGAGCACCCTTGTACAGAGGAGGACGGATTTGGTGAGTGTAGCCTCGTCTTCTCACCATATGATTGTGCCCTCCATCCTTTTATCATACTCTTAGGGATGTTTATTGATACTCTAAGTTTGAGAGGGTTTTGAAAAACGTGTTGTAGTGATTTTCAGTTAAAAATCCGAGTGTCAATTTCCTTCAGAACCATCTCAATTCGTCTGAACCTATATACAATTTCATTTTCACTGCACCGTCTTTGATAATTAATTTATATACCCATAAACGTATAATAAAATTGTCTACTTCTAAAAGTAATATACACATGCATAAATTCTGTACAGAAAGTCTTACGTGTACGGGTATCGAATGCTAATTGCACGACTGTTCATTAATATGCACTTCTTTCATTCTATCTGCATACATTAAAAATCATCCAGTCAAGCAACGCTGTTTCTGGATAGAACGATTCGTAGTGCCTGATCTATTCAAGATAATCTCTGTCGCTTATTTCTTCACGCTCCAAGGACCAGTCGATCGGTTCAGAGAGCAGTGTAACACGATTCTCGTATGATCAAGAGTTAAAACGATATGCTCTCTGTCCATGTTTCTTTGGTCGCTCGGCCTGCCGTGCTCCTTCGGCGTTAATTCTCGCTTCGCAGTTGTGCAATTTCTCTCAAGCTCGCTGGAAACGAAGGCGCGATTAAAGTTCGGCTCGACACTGAAGCGGACACTGTTGTTGATTGTTGTAGGGACTGAGGCGAGGGGCACAAGCAGAGACATGGACAATGTGCAAATGATCGGCACTAAAATCACAGCGATCAAGGAATACTTATATGTAAGGCATTCCCATCTCGCTGCACGTCATTCATTCTGTTTCTTCTTTTCATCTTCTATTCTTTTGTTTTTTATCAACGTAGTTGTTCTACCCTTTCATTTTCCGTCATTTGATTTTCATGATTTGGCCTGTTCACGAATGCTTTTGCTACTTTCTCTCTCTCTCTCTCTCATTGCTCTCTTCACCGACAGGTTTCGAAGATGTTTCAATCGTAAAGCTAGTTTTCTGGAATGTTAAGTCTATGGTGAATGTTGCCTCACGATTCCTGGTTCGCGAAACACAGATGTTCATTGTGAATTTCAGAATTTCGCCCGGACACACTCACCGACCAGACTAATGAGTTCCGAAAACACCTACTCGCTCTCCAGGGAGCATTGTAACTTGAAATATTCGGGTGAGTTTAAAATGATATTTATAAATTGTTTTAGTATTGCTGCATGCATCGTTATTGATAGATCTGTACTTTACTCGTAGTCTGACCATCACTTTCCATTTCTACTTACAATCTGTCCCACTGTCCTCGCACTCGCACCGACAAATTCTTTAGTGAATCCCAATTCTAAAATCAACCTTGCCTCTTCTAAGAACGAAATCCGGGAGTCACAATATTGTCCTGATTTCGCAGAGTCCGCGAGGGTGCATAATAATAGAGGATTTAGAATTGGCCTGAAGAGTAGTCGACGAGTGGCTGAGGACAGATTACACGCCACAGAAAGGGTGGAAGGGTTTGTTGTCACGACGATATTTGCAGTGGGCCAAGTGTTAGAAACCGATAAGAGTCATTTCGAATTTAAAATATGCTCCGAGTGAAACAAATCCATCAAACCTTTCGCAACTTTAAAAATCAGTACTTTCTTTAAACGATAGCATGTAATTTCTTTGTGGCTAAGAGAATCGGTGATGTTTCTTCTAACTCGTTGCTATAAATTAACCCCCTAATCCTGCTTATAAATCGCTGGAACTAATTGCTGCATGTAACAACCCCTAGAAGGAGCTTTGATTAAAGCCAGAATCCGAGGGTCCTGTGCATCTGGTGCCAAACTATGTACGAGTTTCACCTAGATTAAGCTCGAAACTGTAATTCATAAATTGCAATTGTGTTATGCTTGTTCCTTGCACGATACTTGTTACAATTAAATTCGATATTATTCGAAGTGCGTTTAGTTCTTGGTTTGATTCCATCGAGAGTTCTATAAAGCTCGAAAGAACGAGTCTGACAGTCTTTTGGACGTTAGATTGATAGAGCTGGATTAACTGAAGCAGAGCCCTCGGAAGCCAGGGATTTCCCTTGTCTAACCATAGGCTCAGAACGATTCACCATAAGGTTTCCGACGTTCCCCTCGTTTTTCCATTCCCGTTCATCGTTCTCGTGATTATTGAAAAATATACTTATCCCTTCGAGAAGACTTCGCACGTTTTCTTTCAACATTGGTCGCCAGAAACATTAGAAAGTTTAATATAACTCTACAGGCTTGGCCTAATTTCATTTGTCTAAACACTGAAAATCTTTTATTACCATTGGCAAAGAGAATGATGAGTTTCAAACGTAGATTCTGAGTCTCCTGGTCTGTTTATCCATGGGATCTCCTTAATGCAATGGGAAACGAAGGGTGGTTTATTCGGCGGGATACTTTATGGTTGTTCTGCAACAGGAAGACAGTTCAATCTACCAAGGATTTACCACGAGCTCATTGAAATGTCCAACTGTAGAGAGTTTATGATATCTCTACTGAAATACAATTTTAATTTTCTAGCTCAAAACACGGTGGTCATTGAGTTAAATTTGCATTTTGTGTTGCACGATTGATTGCAATCGCATGCTAATTTTCGAACAGCAATATATAATCAAGATGAAGAATAAGAAGAAATAGGGAAGAGGACGACGAAGTGAGATGGTGTCATCCCACCAAACAAGTGAGAGTGTGTCAATATAGGTCTATACTTTCAATTGTTTGATGAGGTGAAATCATTCTAATAATTTACGTTTTCTGCGAGGACGTCGGAAACCCGACGGTAGGTCGAAACGACGGAGCACCGAGAAATATGAATTCAATGAAACGGTATCAATTCGATCGATGTCGCTATCGTAGAAGAGATTTCACTTGATTATAACAATTAGAGAGTCACCGTAGACAACTACTGTAGCCACCTTTGCGATTTTGTCAATATTACAAGTATCCTTCGTGAGAACACGAGATTTTATTGATATTGTAATCGTGTGCCTTGTATTTTCGGTAATTAGGTAATTGCCATTTCGATGCTTTGAAACTGTGAAATTTTAGCAATTTAAAATAATTAATTTTGCAATTTTCAATAGAGAAAAATGTCCCAATCGATGTTACAATTTTAAGGAGATTGAGGTGGCAATATTTTGTAAACGGGAAAATTTCAAACTGATCATTTGCATAATTTCGAGCTCCTTGTTCTCAGATATCCTGCCGCACAATGTCGAAGGTTATCCAGCAACCAGAGAGTTCCTAATGAAGGTGGTGGATATCCTATTGGATTTCATTAAGTCGACGAACGACAGAAACGCGAAGGTCCTCGATTTTCATCATCCCTCCGAGATGATGCGCATCCTGGATCTTGAGATTCCCGACACTGGCTTGACTCTTCAACAACTTATTATCGACTGTTCCACGACTCTGAAGTACCAAGTGAAGACTGGTAAGTTTTAAATGAAAACTGTCATTTGTAGAAAAAGCAATTACTCGTTTAGAAACTTGAGATTAAATCAGTAACTCTGAGTAAGTGTTAGAACATCGGGGATGATGTCTAGCAGGGCATCGCTTAACACCGTTCTATCTCATTTCCTTGCATCCACGAGGGTGATAAGCCACATAATTTCATATTCAATTTAGCATACGCGTACTTTGGGTCGGAGATAAGGTGACTAGAGACACTTCCAGCCTTTCCGTCGGCATCAACCCCTCCAAAATGTACACTCCTCCCTCGTGCACGTGATAAATGAGCCAGGGGTTGGCGATAACTGAAAAAAAACTGAGATATCTGGGTGCATCATCTGCAATATTTTCTATAACAAAGAAAGAAATATTTCCACTACATACCCTGAGTCTTACACTCAACAAATCTAAATAAATTTCTTACCAAAACGTTCCCCCAAAAAGAATTTATAAAATTTTGTTTATAATTAAACCGTCTTTAATTAGAACGTCACGATACTACGAAACTCTGCAGACGGTTAATTCAGTCACGACCAGGTCTACCGAATCTGTAGTCTCTGTCGTTCGACGGAATGGCAAGAGTCAACCGCAAATCCCCCGCGAAAGTTCGCTATCTCGGCAGGATTCGATTACCAGCTTGAATAGATGCTAATGCACAATGGAAGAGGGCTAACCGAACTTAGGCCAGAAATCAGGCTTGTCTGGCATGGAGCATCGATGCAGAGGACCGAACGGGGACGAGAAAGCACCCCTGTGTATAGGAAGTCGCGTGCACCCTGTATACGTGCCGACAAAAAGTCGTTATTAGATTATGTGACACGAGATTCGCGAGCTCCCTCCAAGTGTCGTCTATCAAACCATCCTCGAGATTCGTGAAAGAAACTGTCCTTCCTCCCGCAGGGGGAGGATCGATTGATTGCTGATAGGCTGAAAAATATTTCGGACAGCTGGACGATAAGAGAGAACGTCGACGATGGTCGTGTGAAATATAGCGCGACGAAAAGAAGCAAAGATTAAAATTATTGCTCAACAAAATTATTTGAGCATCTTGTTTATTACGCATCTTGCGATCGGAAGGAATTAATATTGATCAATAGGGAGATACGTGTGAAAATCTTGATTGATTACGACCACAGACGAGCTTTCGACGTTCATGATTGATTCCTTTGTTGAGAGCAACATGCTACCGATATTAAAATCTCTGGAGCGCTGTCGCGTGTCCCGTGCGTCGCCAAGTCCGCGGATTTTCTATAGGGAAGCATGGTATGCCATTTCAAACATATGCAACAATATTTCCAAGATTCTTGAAAAATTCGAAGATCCCAAAAAAGCACAATACAAACGGTGCCTGTCGAAAAACTCTGTTGTAGGGTTTGCGCACGTGGCACCACTGCACAGGGTGGTAAATTCAATAGGATCGGTGTAATTAAGAGCCATTTCTACACGATTTTCCCTCGCTAGGGTGGAGGGAAGTAGCAAATAGGGGCGAGCAGCAGGGGTGGTGGGACGATACATAGGGTGAACCCTTCGTGAACGTTCGGCACAGAAGCGCCTAGTGCACCCACCGGAGGAATTTAAATTGGTATCGATAGCTAGCCGTGGAATGCAGAAATCGTTTCGTCATGGAACGTAAAAGTTGTTACGTCATGTGACCGGTATTTGCACTATGAATCGGCGAAGGAAAAAAAATGGAAACTCGATTATTTTGCAAATATTCCTGAAAATCAATCTATATCTCAATTTGACAGAGCTGTTCTAATGATTTAAATGATTACTTTTTTTACACTATTTAAGTCTTGGTTCAAGACTACCAACATTGGAAATGTTCTTTCCAAAGATATGATTGATTACAGAGTATTAATGTTAAGCCAGGGTTACACACTTCTCTTCATACAAATCCTGAGCCCCGTAATATATTATCGCAGCCTGCTCCGAGCAGGTTCTCCACGTTCCCTTTCTCTTATCCAGCAGAGGAAAAAGAACAAATTAGTCGGAAAATAATACCCCTCGACGTCGTAATCGCTCGTAAAAGCAATCCAGTGAAAGAAACAAATCGAAGAATCTATCGTATCGAACAGTAAAAGTTTTCCTATATCAATCACAAGAACCGCTGAAATTCCAAGAATCAAATCGAAAGGAAATTTCCTTTTCTATTGGTTTTAACAGTCGAGCCTCTATTTTGCCATTACTTCGCGGTAATGGAGAACAGTCTAAGGGGATTCGGTTCGAAAATCCCTGCAGCTTCGTCGAAAATTAACATACTCTTAAATCTGCATAATGCCAACCTGCTTGGCTTATCTCGATCCGCACGCTGCACTCGTGTTTGTTTTTCCTATCTTTCTATGGAACCCCATAACACACCATACGTTTACTCGCAAGAATTTTCAAATATTGCACTGATCTCTGGAAAATATATTTTTCTTCAATTTTTAATAAAATAATTAAATCTTCTTTAATTTATTTCAAAATAAGGAAACAAACTTTAAATTTCCTTGAGTAGGACTTTTTTAAACCTATGGTAGATTTGGTTTGAATATATTCAGATATGCTCATACTGATTTTTTGGTAGTTTGTTTTCCTACGTCAGTTTGAGAGCCTCTGCAAACAATCTAGTCGCGCAGCGACGCGTGTGACGCGCAAAATGCGGGCGCTTCGGACCATCGACCCTCCTCTACCCTTGACTGAAGCACGACCCCGATACTCCTGGAAAAATGGAGGGATAGAGAGAAAACAGGAGACTTCTTCCCGTTCACCCTAAAACCGGACGCGTGCCACGATCCGCAGACCAAGATAATTGCGAGTAACACAGCGACAAACGGCTCGGATACCGCTGTCCGATACATCGTTTTGGGGTTGACTTTTCTATTGAAATATACACTCGTGTCTCTCACGATTTGAGTATCTAGTACATTAGATAAGTAGATTCTAATTTAAAAATAACCAAAGATAGGCTATTTTCACCCCCAGTCATCATCGCCAATGGGAAAATCCTGAGCTAGCCCACCAGACGCGCCAAGGGGAACATTTAACCCCTGAAATAGTGGTGTTATACGTCAATCACAACGTAATACCCGAAGATTAAAATGTCTAAGCATCGACCCCGAAATTCTCATTCCTGTCTCTAGTTTCAGCATTTAGGAAATGTTTAGGGACGAAAGAAAATATTGTGTTTCAGGAAACGCACTGTTACCCAACATCCACCGATGTGTTTCTTGGTTTATCAAAGGTCGGCGAGGTTATCGTGCACCCGAGGGAAAAAGTCTTTTCGTGGCCGGATATTCAATGGAGTGAATCCATCAATTCTCGGGATCAAGGGATCTACGTTATTTTAGAGAACGATAGGATAGGAGTTCGAAGGGTGCGCGAAAATCCTGTATCATGGAAACATAAATTTCCAGCACATACCGTGTACTTTACGCCCAAAAATATTATCCCATAAAATAACCTTCTGAATTCCTAAAGTAGCAAAATTTCAGGGTACATGGTCTGGTATGGTGCATCCTTGTAGTTCGTTCAATACAATTACTGTAGAAGTACAGTTTAGTAATTCCCAGACAAGAAACAGTAGAACCCGAGCACTGGTCCCCCCTGACACATCAGGAGTCGGTCTCCCGTCGAACAGAAGCATTAACCCTGATCCTAGCGCGATGTTCAGCAGAGCGGATGACAACGTACTCAGCGAGCAGCTTAAAGCTCTCTTCCCTCTTTCGACCCGCGTGCCTTTAACGTCCATCCTTCGTCGGTGTCGGAGCCACGAATGCTGCTATAATTTTTCGACACGTGCCACGTCAGCTTTATTAATTACCCCGCCATTGGAAGCCGTCTTCGAACAATCACGTCGGTCACAATGAAAATTAGAATAACACCGCTGATTTATGACTGAGACAATTAATTTCAGTTGCCTTCACGAAACAGGGACTTAGAAATTTTAGAATCCCTTGTTTTTCTTCATTTTCAGGACATCCCCATTTCTTCAATCAATTGTCCTGCGGGTTAGACTTGGTGTCGATGGCTGGCGAATGGCTAACAGCGACGGCGAACACCAACATGTTCACCTACGAGATCGCACCTGTGTTCATTTTGATGGAGCACGTGGTGCTGCAGAAGATGAGGGAACTAATTGGCTGGAGCGGTGGCGATTCTATATTAGCTCCGGGTGGTTCCATCAGCAATCTTTACGCCTTCCTCGCCGCGAGACACAGGATGTTCCCTAGTTACAAGGAGCGAGGTCTTTCCGCTATCGGGGGACAGCTGGTTATGTTCACGTCTGACCAGGTATAGTTTATACTACTTGTTTCCTTCGTAACGTCTTAACTACCGCATGCGATCAATTAATTTGTTTTCTCTTTTCTATTAATTATTCTATTAAACAAAATTCGGGATGTTAGACACTGATGGCTACCATGGGGTTGTATTTTATGTGCTAAATAGTGCCATTATTCGGTGAAATCCTGCGCCGCTGTCTGTGGACTGGGAACAGACAACTGCGTGATGGTTCCCAGCGACGAACGAGGTCGCATCATTCCATCGAAGCTTGAAGAACTTATTCTGGAGCGTAAGGCTAAAGGACATATTCCCTTCTTCGTGAATGCCACCGCTGGGACGACCGTCATTGGTGCATTCGATCCTATCCCTGAAATCGCTGATATCTGCGAGAGACACAAGCTCTGGCTTCACATCGACGTAAGTAATTTGTAATAAAAAATTATCGAAGTTAAGCAAGATCCTTAAACGCGTCCAGTTTTAATCGAATACAAGTACAAGGATGAAAGTGTTTGAAAGTTAGGAAGGGACAGAGATTTCCACTTAGCCAGACAGCTTATTCAAATCGCTTCACCGTTCGAACGATAAATGCCAAACACGTAAGAGCCTTAGCTTAAATAATAAATGTGAGAATCGGCATGTCGAGGGTCGAGATGTAGTATCACGAGTTAAACTGAGGGAAATTTCGGAAAATCTCAGCTTTACGAGTCAACGCTTACAGAAGTCTTTAGTGAGATTCAGCCCTTGTTTAAAAAAGATGATTCAATTTTTCGTTTCAGGCGGCTTGGGGTGGTGGACTGCTTCTGTCAAGAAAATACAGACATCCAAGATTGACTGGCATCGAACGGTGAGTGGAATAATAGAAACATTTTATATAAACAATCTCTGCTGAAAGCACTGCGTACATTCACCCCTGAACTTCGTCGTTGATGGGTCTTTTTCTGATCAACGAGAAACACCTCCACATGTGCACTCCAGAGGGGTGCCTTAATCCTCGCACTTTATAGTTTATTGAGGCTTAGTTTGATGGAGTCACTCAGAAAAAGAGCAGGCACACAGACACTCGCAGCAGGTTGAACCAGCAGTCTTAGGGCACTGTTTATGAAGGGCAAAATCGATATTGCCCTTCTGAAATAGCTCGAAGCTTTAAAGCTCAGAAAAATTATTTTGCATGAGAATAGAAATGCTGAATTTATATACACCTTCTGTAAAAAGTAGGTAAAAGATCTCCAAGATAGTACTATTAATAAAGGAAAAGGATTTTTGCAAAATTGCAAAAGATTTCAAAAATTTAAGGATATGTCTGACTAATCACTGATTTTTCTACTGTGACAGTGAATATCTTCAATATTCCATAACACAGCTTAGTATAAACACTTTTGATCCATTATTTAACACACAAAGAAGTTGAAAAATGTATTCACAGAAGAAGATTCGTCTCAATCCTCTCCCACAACACCCCCCATTGAACGCCAGCAATGAAGCTGAAATTAGACAAGCGAAACCTTGATTGATTGATGCGAAAAGAGGATACCTGTAGGCTATTCGCGGCCAGTGTCGTAATCCGTAAAATCGAGGGGTTCTCTCGAAAGAAAGGAGTGACTCCTGTCCCGAACACATGCGAACTTTCGCATCTACATCCGCAAGAGACGGTGATGCTCGACCCCTCGCGTTGCAATGGGGGTCAGGGATAGGCCGATTCGAGCGTAGTTCAGATGGGGTTGGCGAGATTAATCCACGATTTGCATCCGGCCGCATCTGCTCCCTTCATTCAGCGGCAGACAGTCCCTGACCCGAAAAAAAGTGGCACGAGGCCTACCAAGAAAATGATTTTCTAACGAAAAGTTGCTTCTGTGAGATATCGAGTGCCGTCGCTGTTCTTTTGCCTCGTGAAATTTCTTTTGATGCTGAAACGCTTTAACTCTTTTTCTAATCAAAGAACAGTCCTTAGTCTCTTCCATCAAAATGCATTTTGATTTATTAATTGAAATCTGATGGTGGAGAAATTTTTTCAACTGATGAACGAGACAATTTTTTATTATTATTCGCTCTCTGCTGGGACTGTACCCCAGCAAGGACTTCCTTCCTGAAGGTCTTGATTAAAATGGCAAACGAAAAGTCCGAAGGACGAGCAACAGCTGGATCAGTTCCCTGGAGCGCATTTGCAGAACAGAACTCTCCTCTTTATATATCGACGCGGCGCCGCATCGTAGCGTGCCTTCCGCGGGTCTGAAATAAAAGACCGTGCCTCGACAATGCTGGATTAAACTCGTACAAAGGGAACAGCTTCCCTCATTCTCTCGTTGTCTGTACTTCCCTGCTGTCCCCCCAACCTCTGTACTCCTCCTTCAAACAGTGTATAAACTCGAAAAAGGAGCAATAGAGACGGAGAGTTAAAAAAAAAGGATGAATCGTGATTTCAGCGTCGCGACAAAGTCAGAAATGATTACGCGTAAAAGGTGGGCCGGAACGAGCAAGGTCTGCAAGTCGGAAGTGAAGTTGAATGTTTTGCGTCCTTCTTCTCTGAATTCCAACGCTTTGTTACAGTCGTGTGTTTTTCTATGGATCACCCTCTTGATTCTTCTATCCCCTTTCGACGAATGTCAAACATACCTTTAAGCTTCATCATGTACAATTTGACAAATTTTTGTATGCCGAGTAGAGTTTGAAAATGGACATTCGTGGTAGTGGTGTGTTCGTCTAGTTGCTTCCATTTCTACTTTAGAGGATAATTAGCAACCCCCGTAATATATATTGCGCGGCTTTTGGGGTTGGCACCTAGGACGAATTTAAGAGTGAACAGAGGGGTGCTGCACGCGCCAGACCCAGCTGCGAATCGCATTAATCACTCGAGCTTTATGTACAGACATTATGCATACTCTTAACGCCGGCGCTTTTTTAAGTAATAGAAAATCAGGGCAAGTGGGCAACCCTCGAAATAATTTGTAATTATTTTCTTCTAAGAAAAATTCTAAATATCACTTGGATTATTATATCATATTTAAAATCTGTTAGACGAGCTGTGGTAAGTGCTTGCCATAGAACTACACGGTAAACCAGTACCCTGAAGAGGATGCAGAAGAGTGACTAATGGCAAACGCCTGTCGTCGACACGAATCTCTTTTCCTGACTGTTTCGAGTACCCTCGCATCATCCACAGCGAGTACATTGTCACGGTATACATGTCACTTGCCAAGCATCGATAACGTTTGTCATGATATAGCATGTCTGACCACATGTGTCTGATTTTATTTATCCAATAAAATAATGAAAAATTTCATTTTTAAGATATCAGTAAACGTGAAGAAATTATTACAAATGATATCAAAAATATTTCACTTTAAACGAATTAGACAGATAGGGAAATGATGAGGTATGCAACACTTGTTGAATGCTTAGAGTGCATAGCAAATTAGCATCAAGTATCACACAGCTTCTCGCGTTTCGTGCCAGCAAGGATTAAGAAGGGTTAAGAGTTTTTATACCGCAAGGGTGTGTCTCTTAGGAACAGAGGGTTAAATCCAATCCTGTGGCTATATTAATAGTTCTCCTCTCGAATTGATGGACCCCCGTGGTACGAAGGGAAGATAACTCATATTTTATCCCCTATTGGTCCCCGTGGGACTCGATAACCGTTTGACAACCAGCTGAGCTCGCTTGCCTTTTTTCAGCCACCTCAGCCTCCCTTAAGAGGCTAACTTTTAAGCACTTCTACTCGCAGAATCTTCTTCCAATTTTTTTTTTTTCAACAACTCCTGACGACACTATGCACCTGCTGTCCTTGCAACATTTCCTTTTCTTCGAATAATAGTCGGTGGTACAATAATGTTCACAGAGCCGACTCCGTGACCTGGAATCCACACAAACTCATGGGAGCGTTGCTTCAGTGCTCGACCATTCACTTCAAGGAAGATGTAAGTTTCGAAAAATTCATTTTAGCCCCGTTAAAATCACAGCCAATTATTTCGCGAGTCTTGTTTCTAATTATTCTTACATCTACGTACGTGTCGAACATTATCGACGGTCCAAGATCGCGGTCCAAGAGAAATTCCGATCTCCTGGAAGGGTGACGACACAACAGTGGCTGCATTCCGAGGGGTAAACGTACACGTCGGAACGCAGCACTGCAGGAATTTAATTAAACTAAGAGATAACATATGTTACCAACGGTACAACGACGGTTTGCCAGAGGGTTTACCCCTCCAAGTCCGCCCGGTTATTGCTAACTCGGAACTTCCCCTTCGGATATTAAAATTCCGGGCACCGGCTGCCGCGAAACGTTTTGAGGGGGATTGTACAGACTTCTTTCGTCTTTCTTGATATCGTTATTCTTTCCGTCGAAGAAAAAATTCGAAAAATTGTTCTAATTTGTTTAAAAGAACGTCCAAATGACCTCTTCGGGTGGAGTAGTAGAAAATAAATTAAAGAAGTTATCTTTGTTTTATTTCTGCGAGAGGGAAGGGTTGATAGTCACGAGTCGGCACTCAATTCCAAACTCCCAATTAACTTTTACGACACGGGACGGGAAGAATCGTCGATTCGTGAGAGGACAATGGCGCACGGAAGGGTGGCTGAGTTTCAGTCGCCATTTTGTAAATTCAATATCCCTCAGTTTCCCTCATTCTGCGCATGAGTTGACGTCGTCCATATCGACCAGACCGCGTATCTCTCCGCTTTTGTTTGTTCCTTTTCGCGCCTGTCAATCAGAAACTTTCCCGAACATGGCTCGAAAACGCTCATTGTGATCCGAAGAGTAGAAAAAAAAATGAGCCAGACGATGCGTCTACCCTTCGTTCGCGATGCATCCGACTCTTTATTTTCCAGGGGCTGTTGATTAGCTGCAACCAAATGTCCGCGGAGTATTTGTTCATGACAGACAAGTTGTACGACGTGAAGTACGACACCGGTGATAAGGTGATTCAATGCGGACGTCACAATGACATCTTCAAACTCTGGTTGCAATGGCGAGCCAAGGTAAACGGTCCCAGAAATTCAAGTAAAATAACCCTGATTCGTATTTCTAAGGAAATGCAAATTTTACTATTGATGGAAAGTTAAATCAATTGGGGTATCACAAAGTTTCTTGCTAATTCTGCTCCAGGGTACAGAAGGTTTCGAGAAACACATGGATCGGTTAATGGAACTTTCGGAGTACATGGTCAGGCGGATCAAACAGATGTCCGACAAGTATTACTTGATACTTGAACCTGAAATGGTGAACGTTTGCTTCTGGTACCTGCCGACGCGCGTTAGGAACATGCCACATACTGCTGAGAGGATCAAAATTTTAGCAGATGTGAGATGCTTCTTATTTTCATTTCTCTCTAAAGAATCTAAGCAGCGAAATTTCGATAGAAAATAAATTTTCTATTGTAAAAATTTGATTACCCGAACACTCGATGTTGTGTTCGCAGATATGTCCCATTCTGAAGGGTCGCATGATGCAAGCTGGTACGTTGATGGTCGGTTATCAACCCGACGATCGACGGCCCAACTTCTTCAGGAACATCATCTCGAGCGCCGCTGTGACGGAAGCGGACGTGGACTTCCTGCTGGCCGAGATGGACCGGCTAGGCCACGACCTGTAAGAAACCTGCCTATTTTAATTAGCCGCATAATCAGCGACTGATAAATATCGCGACGTAGCATCGAAAGTGATCCCTGCTGATATTAGAGATTCATCGATGAGCAGGGAATCACGTCGCGTTTCATTACGTGTACAAAATCCGGAGGCCAAATTTAAGGATCGCAATCATGGTTAATAATTTAAGACGCGAGCTGATTCTCTCGTTTTTCTTCAGACACACGATAAATTTAGGGAATTGATGCAACCTTCCCAAAGTATCTTTTATTTTTTTATTTTTTTGATCCACTGTATTACAATATTATTAACACCTAGGATACCTTCCTAATTATAAAACTTTCGAGCTTGAAATTGAAGACAGAGGGAGAATCAGTGAACGAATCATCATCAGTTCGTAGTTACGACAAACGCTTCTTCAATATAATTAAAAACCACAGCTACTGAAGATCAAAGGATACTCATAGCACGTAAGTTCTCTAGGTGTAAGGAACAGCATATCCGTGAAACGAAGAGTCAACTTACAAAGCTCTAGCGACGCTTCCGGCCGTAAATGTTACTAGTTTTCATTCCTCGATGCTACACGTTAGAAGAGAAAAAAAGTAGCAACGAGTCGTAAATCGATAATAAAATAATAGATATGCTTCGATAGATATCTCGTTCAGTTTCAATTAATTTTAATTTATCGATCGCGATACATTTAGCAGAATTTATTAAACCAAATTTCAAATAGAAGTTAAAGAAAAATCTAATCCTCGATGGATTAGAACGTTCTTGAAAATGAAATCATTTGATAAATGAAGAAATCAATGTTAACAATTTCAGAAATTCGGTGGGATCGTTCTTTTAGGAACGAAATAAATGTACAAAAATGATATTTTTACTCCAATTCGAGTAGTTAATTCATCTAGTTGCAATTGATGCTGCGCATTACTTTGTTGAAAGTTTAAATATATTTGTTATTTATTCATTGTTTGCGAGACTATAAATTGACGAAAAGAATGGCCTGCATTCATTCTATACAAACGTACGTGCGTTATTATTTACTGTTGAAGAATTATCACCGAACGGAGAGTAATATTTAATAATATAAATAAATATATATATTACATAGGAAACTTGAAAAAAAAATATATAAATGTATTTGAAAAAAAAAAAGATATAAATATATAAAGAACAAAGCGTATATTATATATATATTTAGCGTTGAGATTTTAAAATACGAAAAACACAAACCCATGAAAGTACATGCTTTTTCAAGTATTCGTGCGAACGGTTGTCATTTAGTTCGTCGATTACCATTCTACTCTCGTTGAGAATCAATCTTAAATCTTCTTAGTGATTTTCTTAGTGTTACAACAAAAGTACACAACATTTTTCAAAAAAAAAAAAAAGGAATTCTATCGCTAGCCTATCACTTCTCACGCCTCGATTCCTTTCACCTACAAACTCTAATTTTTCAATTATTCTTTTTCTTATCATTTTCGCCCGTAACAGAGACGACGAAAAAATAGCAATCTGTTCGACAAAAAGAAAAGAGAGACACTTAAGAACCGAACAACTCTATATAGATTTCGATTCACACTCGCCATCGAGTAAACAAAAGAGGATGAATCTAAGCGTAAGTAATTACTAAACGATATCTAGGTGTATATTATAAGAGAAGCGTAAATCTATTTATTGTAAATCTACGAATTTACCTATGTTCTATTTTCCCGTCGACTTTTACCGAGCCGTCGATACGTCTTGTTTCGTTCATATAAGAAGAAATGTAGAATTCAGACGGGTGAGCCAACGGGGAATTTCATTTCGTGTAATTCGTAGTAGTTAATTAATATTCCTGTTCCGTGTGATTAAGGTGAAATCGTTGATTCAAGGTTGACGGGAGACAGAATTCACGAAAACGATACAGAAATATGTATTTTTAAAGAAGAAACGATGAAGACGTTCGTCTGACCATGATACAGATACCTGCAAGAGAAGACACTCTATTGAACCGTTGTTATTAATTATCTACAATTTTATCGGCGTTGTATCTTTTTTTCACCAACAGTCGTATCATATACTGCCGACTGAATGGCTGACTTTCGACGAATTCACTCTATCGTAATCAAGGAAAAATTGATAACGTTGTAAACAATAGACACACATACACGTAGGAAAGATTAATGTATATGTATGATTAAAAGATCAATGCAGAGATTATGGTTTGTACGTGCAGCTGGTTGATTTGACACTTCGAATCTCATGTTAAAATTTTTTCAATTAGTTCTAGGATCGTTCTTGTTTCTATTTCATTTTGAAAATGCACTGAATTGTATTCTTACAAAATTATTGTTATTGCACATTTAATTGCGAAATTTGTATGCACCATTAGCACAACACACGCGATGCACCTTTGCACACAACACTTTCATTGTCAATTAGAGAGATGCACTTGCATTGGCGTAACTAGGATTTTCGTCTAGGGTGGACCAGGTCCCCTAATTTTATTAAAAGTGTCAAATATCTAATGTTATTTAATTCAAATATAATTTTTTTAAGTAATTACACTACATATTGCATTTCGTTCCAAATATTGATTTCTATTAAGATTTTATGAATTGACAAATGATTTTTTAGCAATTTCAATAATTTCTTATGGAGAAGAGCAGTATTCATTTTAGAGGGACTAGACCCATTCCGACCCCTACCTAGTTACACTAATGTGCACTCGAGAAACGGAAATCGGCACAAGTAATAATTCACGTTGGTCAATTCCTTTCCTTGTGATTTGTCACACTGATAAACCAGGGTCAACCACCCTGACCTCATTATCGTTAATTAGTAGGTCTAAGTTGATGACGAAGTAAGATGAAGAACAACAAAGTCCCACGTCTTCCAGAAAAAAAAAGTATTGAGATTGTTAACGATTTAGAGAGTGCCTCGCGTGCTTCGAGGTAATCTATCCTTCATGCACTGTACGTAATTACAAACGAGAATACATTTATATGAATATATATATAAATAGGTGAAAATTCTATATAAATATGTATATGTATGTACACGTGTGCGCATAACTCTGTTGGGGATAAAAACGAACGAAAGAAGATGGACTGTTTAAAGATTCACTCGACGATATGACGATATTTGCTTGGTCGTCGCGATCTTGTTGCGTACGACAAGTACCACCTATCCACCTAATTGACCTTATTATCCACTGTATATCAATGTCTAATAAACTGCTGTTATCCCAAATTATGAACACTTGAAAATTATTATCCCCGTGTTAAACTTGAAAATTAAGTTTGACCAGCACTAATTATTGATTATAATTATGAGATAATTATAATCTACATTTAAAATTAGCGTAGTCTAGAGATAGAGGGAAGAAGTTCTAAACACCGTACGTCGCCGACCTTCCGGACGGACTCTTGGTATCTATAGAGGCACATGGCTAGAGGAGTAGTACCTTGGAAGAGAATGAATAATTTCTAAATAACTTAATAATTCTTGAAAATCACGTTTCTCTACTTGGAATTAAGAATACTTATGAACTCCCTCGATGTTTACGTAGTCGTATAAGATTATGCGATCATTACGAAACATGGGTGTTGTCTGAACTGGATATGATAACACAATCATTAAACTCTTTACTACTTTACATTTGATGCTATGGTACAAAAATACTAAAATCTTAGACTTCTTCAACTTGATAAACGATTACATTATTTTTTAGTTTTCAAGAAATTAGTGAAAAAGAAATAATAAAAAGAAAGACTTAGGGGCCAGTTAGATTGGGGCATAGCCGATAAGCAGGTGAATAAATTACCCTAAGAAACCAGTTGACCTTGACGAGCCTCCACGCATAATTATCACACGTCGTTACAAACAGATTTCAGGCAGTGTTTCAGACCAGTCGGTTCAAAACAATCGTGAACATGCGTTCTTTCGTGGAGTACTCTGCAAACTGCGATTTTCCTATTGAAAATCTTCCTTATGGTGTCTTTTCAACAAAAAACAATGTAAGTATGTACAATAAAATTGAAGTTTCTTATGGTCAGGAGAGAAGTTTATAGGTTATATTTAACGAAAATCAAATATTCTTATATGTACAATAATCATAATATTCAAATCAGAACAATAGCATTATACAAATGCAACTATGATAGTATCAGCTAATATTTGAAAATCATAGTGCACTTCTTTACTATAATTAAAAGATTTTAGTTTTCGTCAAGCAAAGTGCCATCTACCGGAAATACAAGTAGCGAAGGGCGCATTATTCAAAAATATAAACTGTAATCAATAAAATTAAATTTACAATTTCCTAAAAAATGAACTTCTGATTTAATAAATATTTAGTTTGTTTATTGTAAAACACTATGCTCTTTTATTTATCACTAGTTTCGAAAGAAAACTGTATTATCGAATGCTGGTAACAATATTTTCAGCCTCAGAAGAGAATAGGAGTTGCAATTGGCGATGAAATCTTAGACCTATCTCTTATTTCGAATCTGTTCGATGGGCCATTGTTAAAAAATAATCAGGATGTGTTTCGTCGCGATTGCCTTAACGATTTCATGGCTTTGGGAAGACCCAGCTGGGTAGAAGCCAGAAACAAGCTTCAAGATTTGCTATCAGCCAGTAATCCTACTTTGCAGGAACCCAATACTCGTTCCAAGTACAAGAAAAATTATTTAATAAAAGAAACAACGATAAATAATATATTTTCTGAACCTTCTTCTTAATTTAATCTTTCAGAGTATTCGTGAAACAAAATGAAGCAACCATGCATCTCCCAGCAAAGATTGGTGACTACACAGACTTTTATTCATCCATTTACCATGCCACAAATGTTGGCACGATGTTTCGTGGAAAACAAGACGCTCTAATGCCAAATTGGTACAATAAAAAAAAAATTCAATTTCTTTTGATAGTATACTTTTTTCAGAGTGCCAATAAAATATTTGTGAATCCAGGAAATATTTACCCGTTGGTTACCACGGAAGAGCAAGCTCGGTAGTTGCCTCTGGCACACCGATAAGAAGACCGCGTGGCCAGACACTTCCGGTGGAAGGTGCAGCCCCAGTTTTCGGTCCTTCCAGGTCAATGGACTTTGAACTGGAAGTAGCTTTCTTCGTTGGAGGACCTCCGACCAAGTTGAGTGACCCGGTCCCAATATCTAAAGCTTACGATCATATCTTTGGAATGGTCACCATGAACGATTGGAGTGGTAACATTTGAAATAACAAACATTAACAAAAATTATTCGAAAGAGAGCAATTACAGAAGAGTAACAATTCGCAGCAAGAGATATACAGAAATGGGAGTACGTTCCTTTGGGTCCTTTTGGAGCAAAAAATTTGGGAACGACTATATCTCCTTGGGTGGTCACTATGGAGGCCCTGGAACCTTTTAAAGTACCCAATTTTCCTCAGGATCCAATCCCATTTCCGTATCTGCGTCACAGTGAACCTTGCAACTTTGATATGAAATTAGAAGTTGATATAAAATGTAAGTACAATGTGTAATACAAATTACAATAGAAAAGTGCAATACAAAAGAAGATCATTACATATTTTCCAGCTCCAAGCGGTGTCGTTACCACGGTTTGTCGCAGTAACTACAAGTACATGTACTGGACACCCCGACAGCAATTAGCTCACCACACCGTAACAGGATGCAATATCAATCCAGGGGATTTAATGGCTTCCGGTACGATAAGTGGCGAGGTGCGTCCGAAATTTTTGTCTCTCAGACCTAATGAGATCGTCCGTGTCTAAACGATACTAAAACCTTTCGTTTTCTTCAATAATTCAGACTCCTGATTCTTTCGGTTCCATGCTCGAGCTCGCTTGGAAAGGTACCCGACCTGTACCGTTACTCGATGGTACCAACAGGAAGTTCCTGCAAGACGGTGACGAAGTGATCATTCGAGGTACGTTCACGACGGGTCTTAAAGTAGATCAAGCCATCCACATAGACACGATTTTATCGACAGTTCTGACTGGTTACCATTTTCCAGGTTACTGTGTCGGCGATGGCTATAGAATTGGCTTCGGAACTTGTTCAGGAAAATTATTGCCTGCTTACACTGAATAATTGTTTTCTTCCTTTCGTTTCCGGTATTTGAGATTATAGTGCAAATACGTATGATTGTTTTCATTTTTTTATTATATTGTATATGAAAAAGAGAATAAAGGATTGAGATGACTTGTGTGTATTCAATGATTGCATGATAGATATAAGTGTAAATCTGATTGTTATGACCGAGTTAAATGAGCGGCATTGTAGCAGACTATGACGTAGAGTGAATAGTTTATCGATTCGAATGATGGCCGTGGTAAATTCGATCAATAAGGAGGCCAGTACAGGTGCAGGTAGAACGGAGTATTCGGAGAACATGGCTGCAATCCTGTTGAAGTGAGTAAAACACAAAAAGTTCACCACCTTTTCGAGTATTTGTCATTCCTATAATATTTTTCTATGAATTTCTGGCAATACAAACTAACGCCATTGTAATCATTAACCCTTTCCCTACTCGTTGTTCCAATAATTAAAACAGAGTCAAATAAAGTCGAACTACATTAGATCATTTTTAAATCATCTAACACTTTGGTGAATAATTAAAATTCCTTAGAAGTTTGCATAATATCGAAGCTCTCGATGAGCCGACTGCAAAATGGAACGTCCCTTTGAGCGACGGAAACCACGTGATAGAATTTGAACACGGAACAGCGACGGGTCGTCGATTGATAAGAATAGATGACAAAGAATTGGTCCACAAAGATTGGATGTTTCAACTGGTTGGAGATGAAGCGTTCATGTTCAATGGTAACAAATTCGTGATCAGAATCGATCCAATTCCAGGTGAGCATTTTCAATCTACCATTGAAATTGAATGATCATTATAACGTGAAATTTACTATAGGATTAAAGTATTCTTATACTTTGTGGGTTAATGGTAAGAGTTACAAGAATTTCATCCAGACACAGTCAAAAATTTTGGAAACCTGGTTGGCTAAAGTTGGGAACGAAGAGTATAGAATAGTCTTAGGTAATTTTAAAAAGGAAATTACGATTTTGTAATTAAAAAGAAAGGAAGCAGCGATGTTTATTATATGATTTTGTAGATAAGCAAACGCAAAATGTTTGGGTGAATGGTGAACAAATGGAAACAGAGGTAGAATCAATGATTTTCTTCTGTAATATTTTAAAGAACATGAAAATTAATCAAATGAATTTTTGTTTTAGAATGAATTTACCGACGATGGCGCAGAAATATTGTTCTCGATAGGAGACCTCCCAGCATCGATTAAAACTTACAGTTCAGGACAAAAAGAAATTGGAATAACGTACAGTTTATACATCGACGAAATAGAAATTGAAAAGGAGATCCCTTTGAAAGATTCTGATTAAATCTAAAATCATGAATCGCTTATTTACACAGTGTTTTATCGTTTTATGTGCCACGAACATTTCTTACACTTTGTATATAATACAATAAACCACGTTGCAATAAAATGACTCATTTATTTTATAATTTAAGAATTGAATATAGCATAATGACCTGTGTTTATGTTCAAATCAAACATAAATAATTTTCTTGAATTCCTGTAATTTGCATTTAGAAAAGAATAATTAAACAAAAATGTCACTTCGAGAGAGTATTTTCAGCATTGGATCACGAATGGCTCATAAACATGAGGACATGCATTTCGATGGTAAATAGAAACTATGCATCATTCAATATTCTTTATTAACATTAATTTTAATCTAGTTATGACTGACGAAGAACTGCAACAGATGCAAGATGATTTATTACAAAGAATCTGGATGTTAACCTTAGAAAATGACGTGTACGAGCGTTATCTAATGCGACACGATCCTCCGAGCGTCAAAAGTAAACATTTCATAAATTAAATTAAATTTTCATATCCTAACCTAAGATACAAAAACTGTTCCAAAGAGATATCGGCCCTTTTGGAAAGAGCAAAGTTCACCCGAAGGGTCACCGCATACATGGTGCCCAGATCCTCGCGGATGAGTTTTCGCGGCAGCATAATAGCCCTCCACGACCCGACTAAACACAGTTTCACCAGTAATCTCAGTAATACCAGCCTCCATTCGGGAAGTCGACTTAGAACACCGAGCCTATTAACGGTGGGAACAGCTGGCGAAACTTCCAAGTTAGTTGCACCAAAAATAAATTCGATTCTCCATCTTATGCTACGCTAATTATCAGAATTACGATCGCTCATCGAATGAAGATGGCGAAGAACGAGGTGGAGGAAATGAGAAAAGTGTTGGACAGGTTCGGGGAAGAGACGAGAAGAAAGAAAACGTACTTGAGAGCAGAAATCGAGGAACTTGAAATTCGTATCACCGAAGTTCAAGAGGCCAGGGACGAATTCGAAGAAGAGGTTGTCGAGAAAGGTGTGAATCGTATCACTGGAAAGATTCCAGCCGAGAAAATCGTCAGGTGATTGATTGATTCCGTCGAGTATATGAGGAAAATTTCCGAACGCGGTTTTCACGCGCGAGTTCTCTCGCGAAGATTCGTCGAGGAGTGGCTACGATCGGCGAACACGATAATAGAACGACTGAGGCTGAAAAGCACGACGTTGAGGGCGCAGATGAAAAAGGCTGAACAACAGCTGATCCAGAGGAAGGAGCTTGGCGAGTCGCTTCACCCGGTTGACTTTGAACAATTGAACATCGAGAACAAGGATTACGTAAAGATGATCGAGGAGAAGAATCGCTACGTGATCGGGATGAAGAGAATCGCAGGTGATCAATCTTCGACACTTTAATCACTGAGGGGATGTTCATTAACACTGAAACATTCACATTAGCTCCTGCTTCACCTCCCAGTGATGCAGAACACTATTCTCTAACAGTTGCAGTTGCATCTTTTCAACAGGTCATTATCATTTAAAATTGACCCAGAGAAAACAGAAGCTCGACGATCTTTTGTCCGCTTTAAATCAAGTGAAAAAAGAGACCGCGATGAAAGAGGAACAGATTAAACAGTTTAAGGCTGAACTGAAGATTGTGAAGGTGAAGTTGAAGCAAAAGACTATACTGTTGAAGAATTTATTGACCTTCATGGAGAACCACACTGTAATTTTCAATTTTTTAGAATCCCTTTGAAATTTATTAAATTAAAATAAGTTTTCTTGCTGTTCAGGCACCAAGTATTCTAGAATTCGTGTACCTGCAAGCAGATTTCCAGGAGTTAGAAAAGGCTTTCAAGCGCCTGCAGAGACGCAGAGACATCGATCGAATAATATATCAAACCTATAAGAAATTGATGTATAAAAGAACTCGCGGGAGTATAGATTACAACTTTTCAAAGTAAATTTTCAAAAAGATTTTTGTTCTAGCTTTCATGGATCCGCTAATGTTCTGTCTCGTTTCAGAGCGAAAAAGATATCCGACACGAGATATCCTGTTCAACCAGTGTTCTAAAATCCCACACCTACTTTTTCCTGCAATTTTGGTTCGTCCTCTGTAAAATCATTCCCGCTTGCTGGAAACGGGAAAATGAAATTGTATGTGTAAGAAATTACGCAGCAACGTACTGTCACTGGTTACGCCACTGGATAATTGGAGTTACGGTGCTTGTTCAGAAGAGGAAGGAAGCTTGAAATGATTGTCCACTCATACTTTTCACAAGAAAACCTTCAAAAATCCCATGTAAATTAAAAATTCAATAAACACATTTGAAATTTTAATAAATCTTACTCTGAATTTTATTTGATCCCCCACGATGGTCAGTATATTAACACTAGCTGTAATGAAAAATTTTATTTTACCAGCCGTAACGAAAGAATTCTCTTTCTATGTTAATGAACCGCGATCGAGGAGCTTCTAAATGTATCAAGAAATTCGAACCGTTTCGAAGATGGAAGGATTTTGGCGTGTGCCACGGTGTGTTGGGTGTTCACGCTTCACGCACCGATGATGCCTGTCCCTTCCTCTTTTCGCCCGTGGAATATCCGTCCCGGAAGACCATGTCTCTCTTTTCTGTAGCGATTCAGTTTTGCCGCGACGACAACATCGACCTACCGAATGTTCGATCAGTTGCCAATCCGCCACAGCTATCTGTCTATACTTTCATCATTTTCCACTTAAGTGATTCCATCTTCGAGACACCTGTGTAGTTTCTTTGATCGACTCTGCTTTTATTGCATGGACCGATGGGATGGATCGAATCGAAAGTTTCTAACAACGAAGAGGGGATGGAAGTGACCTGGTCATGTTAATAGATCGTTGAAAATTGTTGTTTCGATTAAACTCGTAGTGAAAGAGATTGCATTCAGTTGTGTGTTTTTTTTTCACGTACAAAAGCGAGAATGGTATGCTCGGTGGTGCATGAAGAATCGATTGGTCAACATCCTGACTTTCCAACTGAATTTCATGTTCGACGAGAATGAAAAGCAACTTCGAGAAAGTTCCACGGTTTTATCGATTCATTTGATGATTTTCTGAGTTCATTAACGAAAATGAGGATCATAGCAGGGAAATTAATTTATCTTTTTATCATCTGCTCGATGATGCAGAAAAGTTGTAACAGATACCTGGAGGTAAGATATTGAACTTCCTCGTTGCCTTGATCAGATATATTAAATGAATTAACGGTACGAAGATGATACGCTTCGATAGAAACCTACTGGATATTAGGCCGAAGCATTTAAAATTATAATTAGACCGTGTGTATCTCGGTAACCGTGCCAGTAGAACGAGTTTCAATTTTATCTGTAATGTTGATTCAGGGTATGAACCTGAACCTAGGGGATGCTTTGCAATTCCTGAGGGAATACGACAGCGAAGCTTCCGCGATGTGCACCAGAGTGATGACAGCACAGTGGAATTTCGCTACGAACGTCACCGAAAGCAATCGTCGAAAAATGGTAATTTCTCGACGCGTACAATTATTTTCATTTAAGGCATACAATAAATACAATTGTTTGTCAGTTAGACGAGCAAGGGTTGAAGTTGAAATTCGATCGAATTTCCTGGCGCAAAACTGTCAGTTTTGCTTGGAGCCGAATACCGGATCCTCTGGCGAGAAGAGAACTTAGGATGATTGCTATAAGAGGGAGGAATTCCCTGACAGATGACAAATTCAACGAGGTAATTAAACATTGTCAAGTTAAAAAATCATGGAAGTATAGGAACAACAATATGTTTCAGCTGCACAGTCTGATTGTTGAAATGAAAGAAATATACACGAGAACGAGATTGTGTCCTTATAGGACAATAGGTTCCAATTGCAATCTGAGTTTGGATCACGGTTTGTTCATATTCATTTATTATTGATAAATGAACATTGATTATTAATTGATATATTTCTCAGATGTCAGTAAAATAATGGCACGATCAAAGGATTACGACGAATTGCTGTACTATTGGCACGCTTGGCACGAGGCCACTGGACCTCAGCTTAAAAACAAATACATGAGATACGTTCAGCTGGCAAATCAGGCAGCCAAATTAAACGGTAAAAAACACATTTCCAAATTGGTGAAATAGGAGACTCATCACTATTGTTTGGGAAAGAATGCCCTACTTTCAAAAATACCATTAGAAACAGTGTCCTTGTTAATATTTTGTATTACATCTAGGATTTGAAGATGCTGGTGATCAAATGAAAGAACTCTTCGAGGACGAGTATTTTCAACAAAATGCAGCAGACGTGATGTCAGCGATAATGCATCTGTACAAAAATCTGTTCACATACGTGAGGACAAAATTGTTCGAGAGATATGGTGACAGGATTCGAAGGGATGGTCCACTTCCGGCGCACATCTTGGGAAACATGTGGGCTCAAAATTGGGAGGAATTGTTCGATTTGGTTCAGCCGTTTCCGGCAAGCAAAAGACTGGATGTCACTTTGGATATGATGATTCAAGGATTCACCCCATTAAGGTGAGCATATCGATATATTGCTTCGATTGGGCGGGTTTAAATGCGAATTTCGTAACGTGAAGATGTTGAAGGATGTTCCAAATAGCAGAGGAATTCTTTACTTCCCTTGGAATGAAACCAATGCCCCCAGAATTCTGGAGATTCTCAATGTTTGAGAGACCTATCGACAGAGAAGCAAAGTGCACACCCAGTGCTTGGGACTTCTGCAACAGAATTGACTACAGGTATTTACTATGCAACTATGAAGAGCCATTTGGTAAGCTTCAAAGATTAATTTTGTAGGATAAAACAGTGTACAAGGGTTACGATGGAGGATTTGCTATCAACTCATCACGAGATTGCTAAATTACAATATTATTTGCAATACAGAGATCAACCGTTACTATTTCGAAACGAAGCAATTCCAGGTGATAAAAGACACCTTTGCTGCTATATCATAGCGTTTGCTATGAATTAATTTTAATTTTTTCTTTGTGTATTTAGGATTTTTCGAAGCAGTCAGCGATGCCATTGAATTATCTGCCTTTACACCTAAACATTTAAGCAAACTTGGTTTGTATGATAATTCCACGGATGATTATGGGACCGATATTAATTTTTTGATGCTGATGGCCCTTCGCAAAGTTGCCTACATGCCATTTGCTTATATAGTCGATGAGGTTTCACGATGTTTTATATATTGTACATATAATATTGTTATTTTCATTGAAATTGATTGTACAAATTTTTAATTATGTCGAAAAAGTGGAGGTGGCGTGTGTTCAACGAGGGTGTTACCGATATGACGAACAAATGGTGGGAGTTAAGGCTACAGTATCAAGGAATCGTACCACCTGTGCCACGATCTGAAAGAGATTTTGATCCTGCTTCAAAATATCACATCCCAGCAGATGCTCTTTATGCCAAGTATGAAAAGTATTTTATTAACCGTAGCACAATAATATAATTTCTTTGCGCGATAAGGCTTAGTGCCCGAAATCCCTAAATTTATTACACTAAAATTAGCATATCACTTTAGATACTTTGTTAGTATCGTCCTACAATTTCAACTGTACGAGTCTTTGTGCGAAATATCAGGTCACACAGGTGACCTACACACCTGTGATTTTTATAGATCACGAGAGGCTGGACGATTACTGTCGTACGTACAAATATTAATTAATATATTAAACTGTTTGCGAGGTGTAAGAAATGGTTAATATTATTTTTCTTTTAGGGATGTGTTATCAATTGGTTCATCCAGAACATGGAAGGCGGTTGTACGAGAAATGACAAGAGGCAGAACAAATAGAATGGATGCTGGTGCAATGTTAAGGTATTTTGAGCCCTTGAACCAATGGCTGAAGCGACAAAATGAAATGGAACCAGTTGTTGGCTGGATTACAAATCGCGAAGACACAGGTGAGTTTAAAAATAATATCGTTCTACTTCTACAGAAGACTGATTACGATACGTTTTAATAATACCTTGTGACTTATTTTAGCATTATTTTTTCACTGGTACCAAAACGGAGCTCAGCAAGTCACGTCGGGCTTATTTGTTTCACTGGTTTTAATCGCTGCACAGATTTCGGTATATTAATAACAATCTATCAATTGAAATGTTACTGTATAAAAGAAACGAAAATGTATGTACATACTCCAAAGAAACTTAGACTAGAAAAATACGAAATAAAGTATCTGCATGTAATTACATTTGACCAGTGAAGTCTAGAAATAGAAATAATATTTATATATTTATTGTGCGATTAACCTTTTGTATTAAATATGTACGTATCTAATTAAATTAATTTACTTCCAACATAAATCCACAACTGTCTCAAGTTTCTCAATTACTATAGATCCAACAAGACTGAATAGACTTCATTATAGAGCCTTCGGTAAATGGCCCCTGAAAAAGCACCATCAATTCTTTTTAAAATTCGATACCAGCACTATCTATACAAAAACGGCGCAAACTATTCAACAACTTATCGATTGATTTTCCGGAACAAGAGAACACTATCGTCATCTATCGGCAACTTTTTGTATAGATGACGCTGGGATCGAATTTAAGAAATAATTTATGGCGGACTCTTTAAAATATAATAGTTTGTCAAACAATTACTTTCATAACTTTTCGGTCTTTCATTTCTTTTACAAAGCTTCGTGTCTCGCCACGCTTTCCACTTTAACATTATGTCCCCCTTTTAGTCGCCTCTTACGACAGGCAGGGGTTACCGTGGCCGTATTCTGATCCCCGAGCCACAGGGATGGTCAAAATTGTCTTTTCAGTTGCAAGCGCGACTGTGGTATACATACAACATCGGCGTAACTAGATGGCACTGCTGGAGCTCTGTGTTTTTTTTCAGTTACCAAATACCTCTTGCAGCAATAAATAAACATGTGAGTTTTTGTTAATATATTTATTTTATAGAATTATTATCTGTTGTTGAGACTGACAGAACGGGGGAATTATTCGGTAAGTTCTGCCCAACTTATGCACAGAAACGTAACACGTTTCGGTGTTAGGATCGTAAACCACCATCAGTACTACTTGCAAGCTCTACAGTTTATTGGTTAGAAGTAACAGCGGTGCTTTTTGAAAATGGAAGTACTCTCTTTTCGAGGTATCAGATTTGCATCTCGTTTAGGGTTCACTCCGCTACTGGCAACAAAAAGTTTATTAGAATCAACATGTTTCATGCGTTGCACCGACCCTAGGCGTTGGAAGTTCCGACTTTCTGGTAGGTTATACCGTTCTTCCTGTGGTTATCGTAAAGAACGAACCGATACCATTCGACATATTGTGAATTTCAGAGAAACACTTACATCACAGAAACCTATCCTGTAATTATGCTCCGTTTTTTAATCGTATCAATGCGCGCGAAGTGCCAGTCCAGTATAAATTCAACAAAAATATCTTGGTCACGCGGTATTGTCGATCAAAGACAAATAAAGATGTTGGCAAAGACAGCACAACAGCAGAGCCAAAGAAAGTATCAGTATTCGCAAGAATGAAACAAATGACCAAGGATTATTGGCATGTACTAATTCCAGTTCATGTTGTAACATCTATAGGCTGGATGGTTATGTTCTATGCAACAATAAAAAAGTAAGTCCTGCATGTAATGATAATATAATACCACACTACATATTTCAATGAATTTTCAGTGGTGTGGATATTATAAAGGTCATGGAATACTTGAGCTTTAGTGATAAGTATTTAGATATGGTACGGAAATCCAGTGCAGGGAATTGGGCCTTAGCATATGTTCTTTTTAAAATATTTACACCTCTTAGATATACAGTCACTATAGGTAATTAAATGACATCAATTATTGAAATTACTAATAAAAAAATACGAAAGATTTGTTAATGTATGTGTATCATGTAGGAGCTACAACAATGGCTATCAAACAGCTTAGCAAATCAGGCATTGTCAAACCTTTGCCATTTGGCAAACAATCTCAGGTCTACAAGGTATAAATGAACAAAATCACTTAACAAGATTACATTGACTAAATAATCAAAATTGATCTCTGAAATGTTTGTGTTACATGCCTTCGCGACACAGTCTACATACGAAACTGTGTGTAGGTTTATATCATATTTTCAGAAAATTGAATTTTGCTTTAAGATATTTTCTTTTCCTTATTTTTCTTGATAGTCCACCTCTTTTTCTAAACCTAATCTATCACAAACAACGATCTGTAATGGTAGTGTCTGATCTATTGTTACCATTTGTAGACAACAAAATCAAATAAACAAACAACAACGACGTCAAAGCAATTTAAAGTAGAGCGAGAAACGGAGCCTCCGAAAACGTAGCGATATCGGAACCACCCGTCGACTACCATCTGGATAAGAAGGTTCTATCTCTTTCGTCGTGCAATCTTGAAGCTTCGTGGATCAAAATGGATGTACATTGTCTTTGTAAATATATAAACGTTATTGTGTTACGATAAAAACCTTATACGCAATATTAGACGAACGTTCATTCACTTGTCTCATCCCAGCCACCAAGCCCGCAAATATCAACTCGACTCAATTGATGTTGATCAGGTATACTGTTCTTTATTGAACGGTCGCCTTACATACACTTAAATAACATTGTACTTTTTATTTACAATACTCGCGACTTAAAATCTTATCTAAAAGCAACGATATTCATTGATCGTAAAATGTAGCAGATATTTTTTTTTTGGCAGCACGAATTGTGCGTGGTAAAACTAATCGTAACAATGCACCTAATTAATGCATTTCCTTGCTAAATTCATGTTCCCCTTGCATACTGAACATGGAATTTTTGTAATGTTTCAGCGACAGCATTTCTTTACGACCATCTTATGTAAATTCCTGAGAAGAATTGATGAATCTCAAGAGTATTGTATAAGTTCAGATAATTGTATTGTCATAATAAATACTGTTAGCAAACGCGATACATCAAATATGATGTGTACTGGACGAATCCAATATAAAGAAGTCCTATAACTTGATCGTTCATAAAATTGACGACGATAGCACGGCGTGTTATATACACGAACTACAAATAAGGAATCATTGCTTAACCTCGATATAATTATTATGCTAATATATCACAGTTGCCTGCGCAACTCGTTCATCCTAACGAGAACACTGTATTCACGTACAGTACCATGTGGACAAATAAATAAGAACACATATAGATATATATTAAATATAACGCTAACCTATAATATTATTAGCTGTCAATGGAAAATTGTTTCGCGTTGATCGCGGCAATATACGTACAATATATTGCTAAAAGGATCAAACATCGACCTGACTAATCTAGGTGATCCCAAGAGAGGCAGTGTAAGTATATCGATTTCGTAAATATCCAGTCTTGGCTCGTTATCTTAATATCCCGTTCAGAGGAACAATAAAGCTGTCTGCATCTTTCATAGGCGTTAATTAATTCTAATGCGAATATCAATCATTTCTTTCGACAGATAAACTTAGATCTCACCTTGGTAAATAGGCCATTCGGACCAGTCAATTCTAAATAGTGTCGGATGGCCGACACGTGAGAGTGCAGTTCAATTTCAAATATTCGACGAAATGCTTATAAATATAAAACTTAATTTAACCCATGTATTGATAGCTGGCTGATACTGGTTGCGGTGCCTTGGGTTGCGTGTGGGATATGCGTTGGATGTGGCACGCACGACACATAAGTCTACCGTCAAGTGGGTAGCATCGTTTGTCCGGCTCGTCGGTCAATTGCATGCCACAATCCTCGCAAACGTAACAGTCCACGTGGAAATCTTTGTCCATAGATACAACCCTAACAGTCTCCTCAGTACCCTGGAAAACAAATCGCAAGATTCGAAGTTACAGCAAAGTCCCAAACGCTGATGTGATCCACCCCATAGCAGTAAGTTACCTCGACAGGAGTGATGCCCTTCCCGCAAGAAGCACATTTAGGCGCGAACATTCTATGGTAATCATTAACGCAATAGATTTTGTTATCGACGTCAACCGTGAAAGGAACGCCATCAAGGCACTCGTTGCAAACGCAACATCTGAAGCACCCTGGATGATAGGATTTGCCCATCGCTTGTAATATCTACGGATGGAAGAATCTCGTGAACAATTACAATTACAATGTGAGCGGTACTAGTGACGTCGCCTTAATTACCATTTCCATGATGAGATGACCACAGATCGCGCACTTCTCAGCAGTTTGTTGGAAGCCGGAATACTGCGGACATAACGTTCTATGAGCCACTACGTCATCGCATCATCAACGCGTGCATCGCAATTGCTGTCTTACGTACCAAATAATCTTCCTCGCAGTAAACCCTTCCGTGAACGTTATAGAACGCTTTGCCGCGCAACGCTCTTCCACAGGAACAGCATATGAAGCAATTTGTGTGATAGAGGTTGCCCATCGCTTGGCAGGCCTGACCTGCCCCCGTTACTTTCTCACCGCACGTGTGACAGATGCCTGTCAAAAAAACATGAACGGTATTCTTTGTAACAATCAATTACAAGATACGATATATTCTTCGCGATGATTGCGTCGATGTTCAGCATTCGAAATCGCTATTTAGGGATTGTGCTTTGCCAACCATGATTGTGTGCAGCCTGACTGGCATCGACAAGGTTTAAAAATACCCTCCTCGATACTCGACAATAAGATCAATTCTTCAGGGTCAATAACTGTCAGAAACAGGGACAAATGGCACGATACGTGGGTACCAGTCGACGGAAACGAACTTACAACTATCGATGTGCAACACAGGCCCTGCCATCCCTTTTGCAACAATGCTCTATCCCTCATTCACCGTTAATGACACTTGTACTTTCGATTGTACGCTTTCGTTTCACTAGGCCAGTCCCGTTCGAACTAGAATCCGCCAACGAGTCGGACTAGTCTATCTATAACGAGATTACTTACCGCGGCGAGCGCGACCTGGCCACAGCAGTTCGCCGTGTACAGGACGTTACACGAAGAATAGAACTCGTGCAGAAAAACGAGGAGGAACGTTAGGCTCACCTAAACACCAGCCGCTTCACGACTGACATTGGCTAGCCCGACTGAAGTTTCCTATCCGCTCGTGCAGATCTTTTAGTTCCTCGTTGCCTACTGTTAGGCTACGTTCAAATGTAATCGGGCATTCGTTCTGAACGGGGTAAGATCGAGCGTAGGTTTGGCGAAAGTAATTTGCATCAAGTGCATAAATTTATGATTGGTAAATCTCAAACTTCTTTAAACTGTGACACACATGAGTGGGTCAGAAATTTTGTAATTGACGTTACTTCGTTATTTCGAGTCATGTGTAGTACTTGAAACGCACACAAAAAGTGAGGACAACGTGTAATCAACGTGGAGGAAACTGTCCAATGTGAACACCACTTTACCGTGTTCAAACGCACACAATTGAAGGGAGAGATAGCACATGTATGTGTGCACCTAACATATATGCAACCCGCACACTTGTGGCGCTTCCCGTAGGTGCGAAGACACGTAGGTGGAAACGAATGGGTAGAGAGTGAATGTCAACGAAACGTATTAAAAAGTTTCGCGACACATTGAAACTTGACTCCATTTTCCAAAACCGGTCTACCTGTTGGGTAGTTGGACCGTGGGAATACGGTACCTTCTTGTGTTCTTCATTTTTCCCTTAGAAATACTTTGAATTATGGGATCGAAACGTGTCGAAAATTAACCCCTTCGATGATGGAATTATAAAAAATCGCTGGGATTTCGTCTGTTTAAAGACGGTATTGAAGATATCGGGGAAACATTGGTAGGGCTATGTAAACACTGTATCGGTGAATGTCTTCGGCTGTTGTTCCTTACCAAAGTATTCTCCTTCCTCTTCTTGTTTCTCCATTTCTTCTTCCAGCTGTTTTGTCAACTCTTCTATTTTTCTCTCCGCTTCAGTGGGTCCCTGCAAGATATAAATCACATCCCGCGTTCTGATCAGTACTGACAAATGGTACTATAGATCGAGGATGGGATTTCGTCACGGGAACACATAAATCTGCATGCGTTTACAATGACATTCAAGGCGACAGGAAGGTGTAAATGCAAAAAATGTTGCATGCTTGCCGAGGATGCATACGGTCTATGAATAAAATATTGTCCGGCGATTATACAGCATTTGTCAGAAACGGGAAATTTACAGTGTATGATTCAGCGCGAGTTCGAAGAAAGAACTCGTCACAAAGTGCGAGATGATTCGTGCATTTTTTTCGATGCTTTTTGACATTTACGCAAACGTTTCGATTTCCAGTAGACTTTAAAATAAAGCAGGATGTTTATTGAGTTGTTTGGAGTAACATTTTTGTCCGAACGTTGGTCATATCTTATCGCTATTATAGGTCAATCATTATGCAAAGCATTAGCGATAACGGTGACATTTGTGAGATTATCGTGTATGTACGAAAAACAACGCAAATTGCTTTTCGATTCACAGAGAATTTATAGTATATATTTCGTAAGAAGGAATAGGAATGTTACGGTTTCATGCCCAATACCAATAGTTCAGTGAAAAATGATCGCAGTAGATCCAGTGATTGTTAAGGATGGTAAGGTTCTCTTTATATAAAAGTAGCATGCAAATAGATCAACTTTTGGCATTCAGCCAAAATGAAACAGATCGAAAGCAATAGATTCGGGTTACATCGCTTGAAGCAGTTGTAAACGTAAAAGTTAGAGAAACGCAGGGATTGGTGCTTCAATTTTAAATGTTTAATCCTTACTGAAGATTTAGGTGGAATGACATTGTAAGGCAACAATCCCTTCCCAGATGCAGGTTTAACTGGCGGACTGACTGACTTTCTTTCTTCTGGTTCAGGTTCAGCTGGCCTTTGCAGCACAGGTACACCAGCATTTAAGAAAACTGGACCAGCTACACCACTTGTCACCCCTGGAGGAAGACTGGTGATTCTAGGACCATGGACATTTGTATCAGATTCTGTGATAGTAGCTGTAGCAGTAGTTACTGGTGGTTGTACTTGACCAGATATAAAACTTCCAACAACATTGTTTGAGGAAGATGGTGACATATGTCTTGGTGATTTCATCACATTCTGTGTAATTATATCAGATGGTGCCTGATTGTGGATTGGACTTATTTTTGTAGAACCTCTTACACCATTGTTGTTATTCACAATTCTGGAACAATCACTACGGCTGGGTGAGTACATGGGTGCTGTTTTTGTTTCAGAAGATTCAGGTACATTCTGAACAAAGCTTCTATCACTTTGCAGATTAGTTAACCTTAGGTGCTCTGATGATCTATTGGATGAATAAATTGGAGAATTCCTAGCAGAGAATTCTGATCTAGGTTCTTGATGATGATAGCTTCTTTCATTTGGTGGTAACACTCTATTTGGAGAATAACAAGGAGAATTACGACAAGCAGGCTGCTCTCCTTGCCGTGCACCATAGACTGGTGAATTTCTGGCCTGAGTCTCCCCACTGATGTTTGCACTTGCAGTTCTTGTTGTTGACTCCATGTATGGTTTATAATTATGGGGCCCGCTAATTGCACTATCCAGAGAACTACGATAATGATGTGGTTCTGGGGGTAATCTTATAGGTGGAGATTCACTGTGATAGGGGAGTCCAGATCTAGGGGACTGTTGTTGCTGTTGTTCAGAATTATAATTAAAATTCCTTGTTGGTGTTTGCAGTTCTGATGGTGGAACATAAGCACTTCTGCCAGATTGATGATCCAAGGATGAGGAAGTTCCTTGTAAGTACCTTGATGTGGAAGAATCAACAGAACGTTGTAAACTTGAGCCATCATAGCTTTGACCACGTATACCACTTCCTCTTTGTTGTGTATATGATAAACTTTGGGTCATACCCCTTTGATGTTGTGCTTGACCCACTTTACCAGTCATAACAACATAATCACCACCATTGATTGTTGCTGGATGGTAATAATTGGGTGGAACCTGAGGACCTGGTTTATTTTGGCTACTTTCTGTGAAATGTACCTCCTGAATATTTTCATAGACAGGTGGTGCTTCATATGGAGGTAATTCCTTAGCTGGAGACGGAGACTGATATCGGTTCCCAATGGGCACCTGAGGTTGTGCCTTTCTGAAAGTAGGTTCATAAGACTCACTAGCTAGTGAAGCTCTTGGGCTACTCTTAGGGCTCTTCCTAGATTCCACTGAATGATAAAAAGGAGGATGAGGTTGATTTTGTTGTGGATAATAGTCAATATTCTCATATACTGGTGCTTGTTGATGACTCATACGGTTTTGATTCTGTTGCTGTTGTTGAGCACCTATCTGCTCTACAGGTTTTGGTGTAGCAAACCTTGATGCAGCTATTATATTTTCACGTTCGTATAACTTGTAATCGGCGGACGGTTGTCTGCACGTCTCGGCATTACCTTCGATAAAACTTTCAATAGCACCCACTAGTCTACCAGGTCCTCTACCGTCGGTTCTATTTGCGGTACTTCTTGACACGGGTACCTGGGCCTCGGGTCGTGATCCCGTGACCCTACCGGTACCCGAAACACCTCCGGCGTCATTGGGTTCATCTCCGAGTTGCAGATAACCTAGCTTTTGTACGTAGGAATCGTCGGTGGGATTGCTCATTGGCAGTGATTCACTATAAGGCGATCGACGACGATAGAAAACACTTGTGCCCGTTATTCAAATATGATTCACCAATCTTCTTTAAAGCCAAAGTTTAGCACAAATTGTTATAAAATGATTCGACATCGTTCACAAAGCTGATCGAGCTCGGTGGTTGTCGTATCAAATCGATCCTCTTCGATTCGATTATAATCCAAACCCTTCGGTCGGTTCTCACCGGTTATTTCTCTTACTGCACAATCCCGATTTTCCCACGGGACACGATAAAACACGATACACGTATCGAAAAGTAGTCTACTGAACGAAAGCAAGGTCGTTTTTTCTGCACGATTTTGGGATACGCCCCACGATCACGGCGCCTCAAGACAATGTATATGTTTCTCAATTATCGTTTATCTATCAGAGAAAACTCGAAGCGTCTTGCACTAAAAAATCACCACCTGCGAAAATTCACACGATACACATACACAACCACCCTGCACACATCGTGGTTCGTCAAACCAGATACCTGCGAGATGTTTTCCCCTGCTACGAGTTATCCAGATCAGCCGATGTTGAGGCATCTCGCCTCGATGTGGCGCTACCATTAAGGTGATGCGAGCGTCGAGGCTGAACTTCGAATTCCGCGTCGGTAAAACAGTCAACGTTTCATCGAAAATTAGGCCGAACAGAAACTGATTTAAGCGCCACCTCAATTATCGCATGCTATGCTACGTCACCTTTCCCATGCACCTAAATGACACGTGTATGCTACGATAGCTATATGTATAAGTACATAATTAAAAAATACTGACCATGCATTCATTATTATTAATTTTCTTTCCGTAAAATTGTAGTTGCAATGTGATACACTTCAGAATCTGAAAGGTATAGTTCCTGAAAAATATATAACAGAGATTAAATAGAAAAAAAAGCATAAATTTCGCAGCCACTTCGCTCGTATTATTTGCTGCATAATTAATAAATGTACCATAGAAATAATGATACAGTTATTAATTAGTCATAAAATAATAACGATTGCCCAGATCTCACCACAAGGAGGTTGCTGCGGTTTGGAGACCGGCCCTACCTCATCCCATCCACCCTCCATTTATGCAAATTTTTACTTTCATTCAATAATGAATTCCTCTCGAAAATTGCTATAAGAAAAATATTTGTTAGTCAACGTAGCAAATTTCTATCAAATGAAATGCAGAAATTATGTGTTCTGTGGACAAGAGCGAGATCTGGCGTCTGACCAGAGTCATGGATAAAGTCATGGCCTTTCCAATGTACAACGTCTTTGCTTGAAATATCTTCGCCAGGGTTGATTTCTTTCTACCATTGCGCATCAAACAACTTCGTTCTTTTTAAATTCCATATTTTGTGATTTTCTTTTAATTTTATTTTTAACCGACTTCGAAAAGAAGGAGGTAATTAGTCATTTTTTATTAGTCAAAAATCATACAAGTTCCTTTTTCAGGAACTATAAAATTACTATAGTTATACGTTCTATATGGTAATATTGCAATCCCGAAAATACTTTTCTGAATTTAAACTATTGTTTCCCAATTAAAAAATATATAAATCTTTTTATAGTAGCTCTTAGCTTGATATCGCTTTCTAAAAGTTATCTTTAGAAAACGATATCAATTACCAGGTCACACCACGTGGAGGTGGCTACGTTAGTGACCCACCCTAAAATCATAAGAACGTGAAACCATTCAAAACAGACAACACAAAATAAAAATTTAAGCAATACAATCTTGAAATAGAAAATAAAATTAACATCCTAATATCAGAAACAATTGAGAAAATAATAATAATTTAACAATAAAATGCTGTAACGGAAAACATAATTATTAGGATTAGATACACAATAACGTGAAACCATTCAAAACAGACAACATAAAATAAAAATTTAAACAATACAATCTGGAAATAGAAAATAAAATTAACATCCTAATATCAGAAACAATTGAGAAAATAATAATAATTTAACAATAAAATGCTGTAACGGAAAACATAATTATTAGGATTAGATACACAATAACGTGAAACCATTCAAAACAGACAACATAAAATAAAAATTTAAACAATACAATCTGGAAATAGAAAATAGAATTAACATCCTAATATCAGAAACAATTGAAAAAATAATAATAATTTAACAATAAAATGCTGTAATAGAAAACATAATTATTAGGATTAGAATTTAAATAAAAATTTCAATAATAAAATGCTGAAACAGAAAATATAATTAACATCACAATTTCGATTACAATTGAAATAGTAAAAGCCGAAAACAGAATACATAACGACCATTGCAATCTCAGAAATATACAATAAAATGAGAATTTAAGCAGATGTAAAACGAAAATACAAGATATAATTTATGTGCAAAATCAATAAGATAAGAATAATTTATTTCAATAAAGTTATAAAGAAAAAGGAAATAGGGGAAATAAAAACGCGAGTTGACCATTCAACGAGCTGGCTGTTGAACTCGTAAAATTTCGAATTTATTATGTTCCCGACGATATGTGCAAAAGGATCATACAAAAAAAAACTAAAAAATGAAAAAACAAATTAGCGAGCATAGTGACAGAATGACTGTCCATCCGAAGATGGAGAGCCATTAGTAGTTCCCCTCTTCTGGGCAAATTTTGCCGGGGCTCTTCAGCATATAGCCTCTTCTTTCTTCGGCAATTGCCTCACAAAAATCACTCGCGAAAATTTTACGTTTGCTCAGACATTTGTAAAAACGTAACACGTAAACGAGCAACGATCCCTTGAATCGCTACTCGCATACCTGCACAATTTTTGCAAATGTCCAAGCACAAAACACTTTTTAATTTCACTTCACTTCACTTCACTGCACTTTCACTTTAATACTTCATTTTTGTAATCGGGTCTAGTACCACGACTACGACTTACAAACTAATAAGGCTTGGCCTTGAAAAAATCAAGAGAGAATGCTAAATTAATTAATTGATAAATTAATTAAATTGCATTTTCATCTTTTCTCTTGATTTTTGGTTTCCCAACCCCAGATACAAGCTTCTCACGTATTAGAGGAGAATACGAAGAGAAACATGAAAGCTTGCTCTGGCCCTGCCTACTTATAAACTAAACTCAATCACACCAGAAGTAAACTACCTGCCTGCCTATCGCTATATTTAAAAAAGAGCAAAAATCATTCTCACAAAAATTCACTCCACGGTTCTCATACAACCACCCGGGTGCAAAAATGCCTACACCTAGAGAGAACGTCCCGGGACGCCTCCGACACCCGAGTTCAATTCAACTTTCACACTCTAATAAAATCATACCTTTTTGCTGAAATCGACTGACAAATAATAGTGAACATTATGCTAAAGTAATACATTTCATTTTCGCATTCTATTGAATTATCTAATGTAAAAATTTTTCAATTTATTCTTGATAAGTATTTTGTAATATTATAGTAAGTTAAGATTGTTAATAAACGATACAAATCCCACATCCTAACCACACACACACATGTGGAACTTCTATCGTGGTTCACTATTGGTTCACTACTTTTGTCAGTCGCCAAAATGTCACTTAAAACTAAACCTTGTCCACCGCCCTCCACCCACGCGAGTACATCTAAGTACCCGAATGAGCTTTGGGCATAAAAATGAACAAGGCCAAAGGTATTTTCACCTACCAGTTTTCTTCATGTGTGCTGAAATGCCTAAGCTAAAACGTATGATTAGCAAAAACTAAAGATGATACTCTCATTTTATTAAAAGTAAGAATATCGGCGAAATTTCACGGCTTCGATTTAGTATATGGGCTGGCCCCCCCAGGGGGTTTTATTTTTAATAAAAGTGACTCGACTTTGCAAATATAAAGCTTGAAGAGCAAATACAGAAAAGCAGAATTGAGCAACTATGACACAAAAATGGTGCACTGCTAATATTAGCTGGCAACGGAGGTTCTTAGGCCCCCTGGACTTTCGCCCGACGCTACATACCACCCACCCCGCCTGGACGTCGTAACGCCAGGACAGGATGCACCCCTTCGCTAAGAGCGCTACCCGCCCGTCCAACACGTTGCATCCAACGGTGTCAGATTGACGGACGCCCATAGTATAGACAAAAGGACTACAGTTTAGAATATGGTAACATATTTTCATATGTTCCGTATTCTAAAGCTGCGCCTGCAAAGGCCTAGTAATGCATGGGTTTATCTCCCATGAGATGGTGTTTCACGGTCTTATGCCGCGGAATCCTTGTAACTAATTTGATTAAATAAAATATTGGATTGAGTTTAAAAACCAAAAGGATTCCCACCGAATACTAGTCAGTGCATTGTCATATTTACTCTCGCGTTGGAAATTTTTCGCAACACTAATTAAAATAGAAAATCCTGATCTAAAAACATGACTAGTACATAAACATCTAACGAGCTAATATTTCACTACACTGATGAATGATGAGTGTTTAGGATCGAGAACCGTGAACGTGACAAAATGAATTTGAAATATGAACGAAGAGCTTTCTATAATGCTTGAAGAGCAAATACTGAAAAGCAAAATAGAGCAACTATGACGCAAAAACGGTGCACTTCTAATATCAGCTGGCAACGGAGGTTTTCGGGCCCCCTGGACTTACGCCCGACGCTACATACCACCCACCCCGCCTAGGAAAGGATGCACCCCTTCGCTAAGAGCGCTACCCGCCCGTCCAACACGTTGCATCCAACGTGTCAGATTGACGGACGCCCCTAGTATAGGCAAAAGGACTGCAGTTTATTAAATGGAACATATGGATGTGCGCCACATCCTAAACTGCGCCTTGAAAGGCCTAGTAATGCATGGTTTTATCTCCCATGAGATGGTGTTCACGGTCTTATGCCGCGGAATCCTTGTAACTAATTTGATTAATTAAATAAAACATTGAGTTTAAAAACCAAAAGGATTCCCACCGAATACTAGTAAGTGCATCGTCATATTTACTCTCGCGTTATTTTTCGCAACACTAATTAAAATAGAAAATCCTGATCTAGCAACATGACTAAAGGGGAGCTTTAAATTATGCTTGAACAGCAAATATTGAAAAGCAAAATTAAGCTAATATGACCCAAACATTCGTCCACTGCTAATATCAGCTGGCAACGGAGGTTCTTAGGCCCCCTGGACTTACGCCCGACGCTACATACCACCCACCCCGCCTGTTTAAGGCTCTAGGCCCAGGCAGGGTGCACCCCTTCGCTAAGAGCGCTACCCACCCATCGAACACGTTGCATCCAACGAGTTCGAGTGGTGGACGCCCATAGTATAGGCAAAAGGACTTTAAGACAGCTTAGCGTATGGGTTGCAACATACTTAAATGTTCCGTACTCTATGGCTGTGCCTGAAAAGGCCTAGTAATGCATGGTTTTATCTCCCATGAGGTGGTGTTCACGGTCTTATGCCGCGGAATCCTTGTAACTAATTTTATCAAATAAAAACCAAAAGGATTCCCACCGAATACTAGTCAGTGTATAGTCATATTTACTTTCGCGCCGGAAATTTTTCGCAACACTACTTAAACTTGAAAATTCTAACAGGGTAATATTTACCCTCGCGTTGAAAATTTTTCGC